TGCACGTGTTTCAGCCCAACCCTGTTGGCTGGGGGCTGCACGTGTTTCAGCCAAACACTGTTGGGGGGCTGGGGGCTGCACGTGTTTCAGCCAAACCCTGTTGGAGGGCTGGGGGCTGCAAGTGTTTCAGCCAAACCCTGTTGGAAGGCTGGGGGCTGCAAGTGTTTCAGCCAAACCCTGTTGGAAGGCTGGCGGTTGCACGTGTTTCAGCCAAACCCTGTTGGAAGGCTGGCGGTTGCACGTGTTTCAGCCAAACCCTGTTGGAAGGCTGGCGGTTGCACGTGTTTCAGCCAAACCCTGTTGGAAGGCTGGCGGTTGCACGTGTTTCAGCCAAACCCTGTTGGAAGGCTGGCGGTTGCACGTGTTTCAGTCAAACCCTGTTGGAAGGCTGGCGGTTGCACGTGTTTCAGCCAAACCCTGTTGGAAGGCTGGCGGTTGCACGTGTTTCAGCCAAACCCTGTTGGAAGGCTGGCGGTTGCACGTGTTTCAGCCAAACCCTGTTGGAAGGCTGGCGGTTGCACGTGTTTCAGCCAAACCCTGTTGGAAGGCTGGCGGTTGCACGTGTTTCAGCCAAACCCTGTTGGAAGGCTGGCGGTTGCACGTGTTTCAGCCAAACCCTGTTGGAAGGCTGGCGGTTGCACGTGTTTCAGCCAAACCCTGTTGGAAGGCTGGCGGTTGCACGTGTTTCAGCCAAACCCTGTTGGAAGGCTGGCGGTTGCACGTGTTTCAGCCAAACCCTGTTGGGGGGCTGGGGGCTGCACGTGTTTCAGCCAAACCCTGTTGGAAGGCTGGGGGCTGCACGTGTTTCAGCCAAACCCTGTTGATGGGCTGGGGGCTGCACGTGTTTCAGCCAAACCCTGTTGATGGGCTGGGGGCTGCACGTGTTTCAGCCAAACCCTGTTGATGGGCTGGGGGCTGCACGTGTTTCAGCCAAACCCTGTTGATGGGCTGGGGGCTGCACGTGTTTCAGCCAAACCCTGTTGATGGGCTGGGGGCTGCACGTGTTTCAGCCAAACCCTGTTGATGGGCTGGGGGCTGCACGTGTTTCAGCCAAACCCTGTTGATGGGCTGGGGGCTGCACGTGTTTCAGCCAAACCCTGTTGATGGGCTGGGGGCTGCACGTGTTTCAGCCAAACCCTGTTGGAAGGCTGGGGGCTGCAGCCAACGCCTGTGGTGGACGACATGTTAACGCCATCTACCACTTGATTTTGTCGCTTGTTTCTGGAAGTTGACTCTAGCATCTAATGTTTCCCCTTGGAATGCCACTGTTCTTTGTGATGCCACCTAATGTTGTCCTTTGGGATGCGACCTATTGCTCCTTTTTGGGGTGATTCTAGGTTACAAGATGTTGAACCCTATCTTCTATGGTAGCATATATTGAACCGCATGTTCCATGGTAGCATATATTGAACCGCATATTCCATGGTAGCATATATTGAACCGCATGTTCCATGGTAGCATATATTGAACCGCATGTTCCATGGTAGCATATATTGAACAATATCTTCTGTGGGAGCAGATATTGAACCCGATCTTCCATTGTAGCATAATTTGAACAATATCTTCTACGAGCCGACCCGCAGCGTATCATACGCCGCTATTTAGTTGTTTTATTTTCTACTTTTCAGTAATTCATAATTTGTGAATTCGACAGTACCAATGCTGCCACTGAAAATATTTGCTTTAAAACACTAACTCCCCCCTTTCCCCTAACCCCGACCCTACACCCCCCCCCCCCCCCCCCCCGTGAAAGCAGCCTCCTCTTAGTTATTTCTTAGTTACCTCCTGAAAATTTAAAATCGAACTAAATTATCTGCCCCTAATAGAAACCCGGCTGTACGGCTCTACGATTTGTAAACATTTAGCTTTGTAACCATTTAGCGTGACCACAGCTCACCAGACAATGTGGGGGTGGGGTGGGGGTGGTAGTGAAAGTGATAGAGAGAAAGAGAGGGGACTGCAAGGAGGCGCTTGCAGCTTGTTTTCTAACGGCTCCCAGAAGAGAATTATATATATAGAAGATAGATTATAGCATAACAGTATATTGAACCCTGTATACTTTGGAAGCAGATGTTGAACCCTATCCTCCATGGTAGCAGATATTGAACCCAGTCTTCTATGGTAGCAGATGTTGAACCTTATCTATAGTAGCAGATATTGAACCCTATTCTCTATGGTAGCAGATATTGAACCCTGTCTTCTGTGGTAGCAGATGTTGAACCCTATCTATTGTAGCAGATATTGAACCCTATTCCTCATGGTAGCAGATATTGAACCCTATTCTCTGTAGTAGCAGATATTGAACCCTATTCTCTACTGCGTTACCCCAGATGTTGAACCCTGGCCGAGCGAAGGCTGAGCGCACATTTGATGTATGAACACCTGCGACCTTAAGTAGCGCTGCCGAGCTTGGCATTTTCTGGTCTCCGTCCGTCAAAGACTTACCCCTGCTAGTGGGGAACTTCCTGGGTATGACGGTCTAGCCAGGTTCAGCGTTTAGAGTTTTTGTAAACTTATTACAAAGTATGCTTTATGACGGTCTAGCCAGGTTCAGCGTTTAGTGTTTTTGTAAACTTATTACAAAGTATGCTTTATGACGGTCTAGCCAGGTTCAGCGTTTAGTGTTTTTGTAAACTTATTACAAAGTATGCTTTATGACGGTCTAGCCAGGTTTAGAGTTTTTGTAAACTTGTAACAAACTATGCTTTAGCACGGGTCCCGGACCGTGCCGGTGAATATTTCGTCAAAAGTTCTGGCTGTTTGGTTAGTGGCGCCACCAACCCGGGGGCCCGAGGGGTGAGGGGGGCCGGAAGTTGTGGACCACACACCATTGACTTGTAGGTGTTTGTTGGTGTTTGGTCAAATGTCAACACCGGCTGTTTGTTTACCTGACTGGGGCCTAGTGCGGGTACGTTTTTGGTCTGTGATCTCAGCAGTTGCTGTTCTTTGAGTTTTTCACCCGGGGGAGATGGGGAGGGAGGGGGGTGTATAACGGGTAAAAAACGTCAGAAGATGGCTAACAAGGGGGTAGTAATGATGTAATAATGACGTAATTAAAACGTTGAGCTGTCTGTAGAATAACAGCAGGTGTGGGTGGAGTAGGTATAGGTAGGTGGGGTAGGGGCTGGGTAGGATGGTGAGATGTGTAGGATGGTGAGATGTGTGGAATAATAGGTGTGTAGGATGGTGAGCTGTCGGTGGAGTAGGGGCTGTGTAGGATGGTAGATGTGTGGGATGGTAGGTGTGTGGGATGGTAGATGTGTAGGATGGTGAGATGTGTGGGATGGTGAGATGCTACCGCTCAGCACGTGCTCGGGCCGCCGGTGCGAGAGAAAAAAACAGGCATGAATCATAGTTGTACGGACGGACGGGTACCACGTGATAACCGTGTTGGTACCTACCTGCACCTACAACACGAGTATAGAAATGTTTTTGTGGAGAGGGTTTACACGTCGTCTTCAACCCTCCCCCACCGCCCTCTTTTCATACTTAGATACCAGTGAAATGTGCGAACAAGAATTAGTTAAATACTGAGCTCATCAGAGTAGAAAGATTCTGTTTGAAATCGATGCTTTATCTACAGGGCTATGGAATTATTTCCAAACTATATATTTTCTTCTACTCTAATTTCTTCCGCAACTCTGGTTTTAGACACTCCCCCTATCCCCAACCCAACCCCCCCCCCCCCACACACACACCACACTATCTTATGCGGCCATCAGCACTACACTCTAGATAAACATCATTGGCTTACTTGATCTTTGATTGACTTCCGCCGTGCCAGAGCTTTTTTTTTATGAATACGTCACTTCCGCTGTGATTTCCCGTTTAATTTGATACAAAGTGAGCCGTCTGCTGGCTGGCGATCACGTGGCTTCATTGAAGTACCTCTTGTGTTTGATACTTAGTGCTTTCGTCATCATCCACCCCCCCCCCCCCCGTCCCATCTGTTCCGTTCGCCTTTCTAAATCTTTTTCTTACCCCCCCCCCTATTTCTTATTTATCTACCAGCGTTTATTTTTTAAGTTGTCGGTCTCAATGTATCACTCGTGTGTGTGTCGTCATTCATTCGGCCTATTAATATTGCCGTCTGCTTTATTGAAAGAACATACTTTTTTTGTTAGTTAAATCATTCCGCTTCAATATCTAGAATTACGTGTTCTGTGTTGGCAGAGGCCGTAACCAAATTAGAATTTGATCGTCGGATCAGACAAGTGTGATGGCGGCACATCACACAGAAATATTTGCTTTAGGGTGTGGGTGTGTGTGTGTGGGGGGGGGGGGGGGGTTGTTGGACATAGGGTCAGTCAATATTTATTACCTCCAATATCATCTCTAATGGCTTTGTCCCTGGACCCGATGATTATTTAGCCCACTAAGATGAATTATTCATATGCTACTACTCCCATCCAAGACCCATAATCCTGTCATCTCTGCTATTCCCATGCAAATGAGAGTTAACTTCTCTTTCCGTATCCGTATATCTACGTTTGTCGTGTTCCAATCAGTTGATGGTCAACTGGTCACGCGGTCTGCTTGTTTCTGGACTAGCTGTAGTCTAGAACTGGTGTGTGTACTAGTGGGGCTGTCACGTGACTGATTGGTTGGTTCTGATAGGTCGAGGCTGTCAGTGCTTGATCTGTCGTTTGTTCTTGTCAGCCCAGTCATGAGTGAGTACAGGAAGTTGTAGCTCACGTGACAAGTGTCTAGGTCATGTGACCACTTTCTGGAGACGTTGTACACTCAGGGTTGTTGGTCATGTTGCCTGGTTCGCTCTGGTAAACGAAAGATGGCCTCACCAACTCACACAGATGTGCCTCATACTTAGATGTGCCTCTTACTTGGTGTGTCTTGTGTCTTGAACACTTGTTTAGTGTAAGGTTGTGGTGCTGCTGGTGGTGTATAATTCTTTACATTCTGGTTCCGTTTTCCAGAGTGTGGATCCTTGAGTTTCTGAATAATTTGAATTGAAGGATCTTTTATGTTGTGATATTTATCTATAGGTGTTAATTGATTCGAGCTCTTTCTCTGACATTAATGGATTCAGTGATTGAGATTGTTCCTTGAGATTAATGGAAGTTAACAGTAATATTCATTAAGCTCCAAGCGATGGATCCAGCAGTCAGTAGCACTGAGTACCCCAGTGACTACATTGACATTGTCAATGAGATCAACGACTTCATAGCCTCACTGGACGCCCCTCCCCTGGACAACCACACCAAGGAGCTGGTGGGGAACCCGCAGCGTCAGAACACATTTGGCAACCATGACGCGGGGCTGTCTGAGTCATGGACGCCAGGCTCACGCAGCCGCCACACCAGTGGTGAGAAGAAGGTGAACAGCCAGCTGTCGCTGTCTCAAAGTGGTGACACCTCTGTTGACGTCGGTGACAAGATGCTGCCGTTTCCTCCAGTGGAGGATGGGGAGCCTGGGTTCAGCACCTATGATTACATAGGCTCGGATAGGTCACGGTCAACTGATTTTGGCGACTACAGTGACCTGAGCAACTACAGTGATGTCAGTATCGGCGACACTGACAGCGGGTGCTACAGCCATTACCAGCACCCCACCAGCGAGGCGGTGCCAGTGTCTAGAGAGCCCAGAACACCAGTCACCCTAACGTCATCTTGCCCGTCCCACTTCTCATCCCCCTCACACAGCACCACGGGTAGCCTGAGGGGAGCGCCCTACCTATACCAGTCTGTGTCCTCATCCCCCAGGCACGCCCCCCAGTCCTTCACCTTCTCCTCAGCTCACCCCCAGTCACCAGACCGGCTGAGCGCTGAGTTCTGCTGCGACCCCCGCCCTGACTCTGTAGACCAGAGGTTCCACCAAGTCGGCTCCAGCGCCAGTACTCTAGCAGCCGCCTCTCATCATTGGACCCCAGTAGAGTCAGATTACCAGGCTCCAAGCAACATCCCTAAGGTCCCAGAATCCCCGGTGCCTCAAAGAAAATCTCCAACCAAGACCAATCCTCTCTCTACCTCTCCTAAGGCGCCAGATTCTGGCTGTGACGACATCTACTCCTCCATCCACAAGACACCACAGACTCATGGCTCTCCTCAAAAACTGAACATCAAAAACAGGTGGCCACCGGTCAGTGAAGCTGAGCTGCCCACAAGGGAGCAGCCCCAAAGGTCAGGGAAGAAAGTTCCAGAAGAACCCAAGATGAAAGCTGAAGACCCTACCCAGTCTCGGCAGAACCCGGTCCCCATACCAATAACCCGGGTCCCTGACCTGTCTGTGCTGATATCAGAGCTGCGCTCAGCCAGTCCCATATCAGAGCTGTCCCCCAACTCTAGGTACACGGCATCAGCCAGGTCGGAGGCGGGGCCTGCTCTTCCTGCTAGGTCAGATCACTATGGCGCTGCTCTTCCTGCTAGGCCGGAGCAGTATGGCCCTGCTCTTCCTGCTAGGCCGGAGCAGTATGGCCCTGCTCTTCCTGCTAGGCCAGAGCAGTACGGGCCTGCTCTTCCCCCAGAGAACCAGTCATGTCCAGCCACCCCTTCTGGTCACCCCACTAGCAGGACATTGACCCCATCAGCCAGCCAGCCCCCCTGTGTCCCACCACACAACCCCCCTCACCTGGCCAATGGATTACGCTGCAAGAGTGAAAGCCCTGAGCATGACTACGAGCCCATAGAGAACCTACAGGTAAAAATATACTCCGCCCAGCATGAGGAAAGGAATAAAATAGTTTTCAGGAATTTTTAGAATTGTCAAATGTTAAGGTTTCATGTTTATTTACTGTTTTTATATGTTCCAAGATTATGCTGTTCCTTGTTATCGGTCTCATTTATCTGAATATGGGTTAAAATATATTTATAAGTGTTTTTTTTTTTATTTTATGTCACATTTTAAATAGTCTATTATTAATGCTGTTTAATGGTTAATTTTTAAAATAGTGTGTGCTGCTTGTGTTGTGTTAGCTAAAGATTTGACACTGGTATCTTTAATAAGTCCTTTAATAAGTTTGTTACACATTGAGTCTCTGTTGTTTCATATATTTAGAATCTACACCATTAAGTAAAGATAGCACCCCAAAAAGGAAATTTATTTATTTATGAACATAGGATAAAAATATATTTAAAAATAAAATTTTGTTTGACCTTGATAGTGGGTGTCAAAATAGGAAACAACTGTATCTGTACACAAATATTGGTACAGTTTATGTGTGGGTGAGAAATATTTTAAAACTTTTTAGGAAAAAAATTTGACATGGTTTTAAATAAACCGGGAGTGATCTCCCCTAAACTTTCTCGAATATTCTAATATAACACTACGGGGGATGGCAACTCGGGATATAGACTTCTAGACATGATTTTTAATCCATTTTAAATACTCAAATTTTTAAAAATAGAATATAATCTCGTAGAAAAAAGAAATGCACACCAAGTGAACGCTAAATAAAGATGTGCATAATAGTGCACAATATTATTAGTACTTTATAAATTTACATGCGTTTTTGAGAAATCAGAAGTAGCGTAAATAAGTACTTCCGATAAACGGAAATTACTCAAAATTTGACAGAAGGTAGAGAATTAGATCTTCTACTTACATATCAATTTTCATTTATCTATCTGAAATAGAACTCAAGTTATAGGCTTTTGAAAAATTCAAAGTAGAAAAAGTACCACTTCCGGTTATCGGAAATCGCTCAAAAGGTGATACGGATCTACGATTTTGATAAAATACTTATATATGAAATTTCATCAACCTAGCTGTAACGGTACTCAAGTTATCGTGTTTACACACTGACACACACACGGACAGAATTGGATAATCCAGTTTTTCCAACTCCATTACGCATAAAACGCCAAAATTTTTATATATCTGAGTTTATAATTTTTGCCCGATTAAAATAAGTCTTCTATATCCCGGATGTGATGAAGGACTGAGGAGTAAAACGGTGAAAACTGTCCAAATTTAATGTGATTTTTGTGCACGATTACAAGACTTTCTCTATACTTCGTATATACGAGAAAGTAAAAAGTGGTAATTTTGAGAAATGCAAACAATTTAGAAACTTTTCTCAAATGGGTTTACCCAGTGAAATATTTTGGGAAATTGATTTCTAATTTAATTCAACAAAAACATTGTTGATATCATGTGAAAATAATAAAAAACAGGAAAATAACACAGCTCTTCCTGGTTGTAGCAATTAAAAATAAAAATGGATAATTACTAAAAAGAGATATTCAAAATTAAAAGTTTAATTAGAAACTTTAAACCATGCCCAATTACAATTTTTTAAAAATAATGTATTAAAAAATTCATTTAGTTGAACAATGTTTTTTCTTACATGGGGGGGGGGGGGGGGGTACATATTCTTTTATAAATGTTTGCTTTGTAGTTTAATTACACTTTTTTTTTAACTTAAGATTAGACGTGTTAAAATTTGAAGAATTTAGCTTTTGTTTTTTTTTAATTGTAGAGGCCTTACAGCATGATTAGAGCTATCTACCACATATCTTACTCATACATACAGTACACACATACATACTGCTGCAACACCTGGAAGTACCTGCCACCCCTCAGCTAAATGTATTTTATCTTTGTCCAGCTGGAAGTACCTGCCACCCCTCAGCTAAATGTATTTTATCTTTGTCTAGCTGGAAGTACCTGCCACCCCTCAACTAAATGTATTTTATCTTTGTACAGCTCGAAGTACCTGCCACCCCTCAGCTAAATGTATTTTATCTTTGTCTAGCTGGAAGTATCTGCCACCCTTCAACTAAATGTATTTTATCTTTGTCTAGCTGGAAGTACCTGCCACCCCTCAACTAAATGTATTTTATCTTTGACTAGCTGGAAGTACCTGCCACCCCTCAACTAAATGTATTTTATCTTTGTCTAGCTGGAAGTACCTGCCACCCCTCAACTAAATGTATTTTATCTTTGACTAGCTGGAAGTACCTGCCACCCCTCAACTAAATGTATTTTATCTTTGTCTAGCTGGAAGTACCTGCCACCCCTCAACTAAATGTATTTTATCTTTGTCTAGCTGGAAGTACCTGCCACCCCTCAACTAAATGTATTTTATCTTTGTCTAGCTGGAAGTACCTGCCACCCCTCGGCTAAATGTATTTTATCTTTGTCCAGCTGGAAGTACCTGCCACCCCTCAACTAAATGTATTTTATCTTTGTCTAGCTGGAAGTACCTGCCACCCCTCAGCTAAATGTATTTTATCTTTGTCTAGCTGGAAGTACCTGCCACCCCTCAGCTAAATGTATTTTATCTTTGTCTAGCTGGAAGTACCTGCCACCCCTCAGCTAAATGTATTTTATCTTTGTCCAGCTGGAAGTACCTGCCACCCCTCGGCCACAGACCAAGTTCCCTCACCCTCAGGGACAGGCTACTATGGCAGAAACAGGGGGACAGCAACCAAAACACGTCAAGGCCATCTACGGCTTTAAAGGGACCAACAATGATGAGGTAAGGCAAACACAGCCCTCAAACTTCACTCAGTCCACAGGCACACAGCATCGACTCTGACAAACTTGTACACAATGAGGCACTTGATGTAGGGAAGGGTGTCTTTACTTTCGCTAACTTTTGTAAGGTATTCCATCCTAGCTGGGTAGACTCAGTCATGTTGTATGGACTTGAGCCCAGAATAAAAAAACTCCTTTAACCAGATAATGACTGGAAATAACTCAAGAATTCTAGTATTATGGAAACACAGTGTTATAATGTAAATTGTAATATGGATACCAGCTAATGTTATGTTACTTTAATGTCTATTTTGTTTCAGTTTATGTAGGTATTACCTAATGTAGATATCACTTTATGATGATATCTCTTAATGTTGATATCAGCTAATTTTAATACTTGATAATAATACTTGATATCAGTTATTATTCATTATGTAATTTATAATGTTGATATCTGTAACAGTTGATAATGTTATTTATAATGTTGATATCAGTTAATGTTGTTAATGTTATTTATATTGTTGATATCAGTTAATGTTATGTGTTCCTGAACCTCCTTTATACTATGTATATTTCAGCTATGTTTCAAGAAAGGGGACATAATCACAGTCACCCAGTGTGTGGAGGGGGGATGGTGGGAGGGGACATTGAATGGAAGGACTGGTTGGTTCCCCAGTAATCACACCAAGGAAGTTAAAGCAGGTCAGTGGCCACAATTAGCTGGTTAATTAGCTTGATTGTGTTTTAATCATGTGGCTTGTGGAGCCAGAGTTGTGGTGCCAGAGTTGTGGTGCCAGAGTTGTGGTGCCAGAGTTGTGGTGCCAGAGTTGTGGAGCCAGAGTTGTGGAGCCAGAGTTGTGGAGCCAGAGTTGTGGTGCCAGAGTTGTGGAGCCAGAGTTGAGTTGTGGTGCCAGAGTTGTGGAGCCAGAGTTGTGGTGCCAGAGTTGTGGAGCCAGAGTTGAGTTGTGGTGCCAGAGTTGTGGAGCCAGAGTTGTGGAGCCAGAGTTGAGTTGTGGAGCCAGAGTTGTGGAGCCAGAGTTGTGGAGCCAGAGTTGTGGTGCCAGAGTTGTGGAGCCAGAGTTGTGGTGCCAGAGTTGTGGAGCCAGAGTTGTGGAGCCAGAGGTGTGGTGCCAGAGTTGTGGTGCCAGAGTTGTGGAGCCAGAGTTGAGTTGTGGAGCCAGAGTTGTGGAGCCAGAGTTGTGGTGCCAGAGTTGTGGTGCCAGAGTTGTGGAGCCAGAGTTGTGGTGCCAGAGTTGTGGAGCCAGAGTTGTGGTGCCAGAGTTGTGGAGCCAGAGTTGTGGAGCCAGAGTTCTGAAGTTGTCTGGTACTGGGGAAATCTGCTGCAACAACATGCTGCAACAACATGGTACAACAACATGCTACAACAACATGCTACAACAACATGCTACAACAACATGCTACTACAACATGCTGCAACAACATGGTACAACAACATGGTACATCAGCATGCTACAACAACATGCTACAACAACATGCTACAACAACATGCTACAACAACATGCTACAACAACATGCTACAACAACATGCTACAACAACATGCTACAACAACATGGTACAACAACATGCTACAACAACATGCTGCAACAACATGGTACAACAACATGGTACAACAACATGGTACAACAACATGGTACAACAGCATGCTACAACAACATGCTACAACAACATGCTACAACAACATGCTACAACAACATGCTACAACAACATGCTACAACAACATGGTACAACAACATGCTGCTACAACAACATGCTACAACATGCTACAACAACATGGTACAACAACATGCTCCAACAACATGCTGCAACAACATGCTCCAACAACTTGCTGATTACAACAGTTGTTGTTGGTTAGGTGTTTGTTGCGTTTAAGATAATTGTTTCTGTTACTGTATTTTCTGTATGATCTGTGCGATTGTTGTTTTCATCACGTGAGCTCTTCAACAGTTGTCTAATAGTTTAGCCAGTCATTGAAGATCTGTGTCTAAATCTTTCTGCTGATTTTCTTCCTTGTTGTTAGGTTAATTTTTTTTACATTAGTTTGCTGAGGATTTGGTAACTTTATATTGTATTGAGGGTTGGGGTGTCTTTAGGTCATAGAGGGGCGTGAGTGACTTCAGATTATTGAGGATGGTGGTGTATATAAGGATGGGGGTACAAATCTATGCAGAACAGGGGCTATGATTAGGTTAAAGGTTGGGGTTGTCTATTCTATAGAGGGTTGGTGATGTCAAGTCCATTAATGGGCAGGGTTTCTTACAATAACATACTGACCTATGTTACAATGACATATTGACCTTTGTGACACACTGACCTCTGTGACACACTGACCTCTGTGACACACTGACCTCTGTGACACACTGACCTCTGTGACACACTGACCTCTGTGACACACTGACCTCTGTGACACACTGACCTCTGTGACACACTGACCTCTGTGACACACTGACCTCTGTGACACACTGACCTCTGTGACACACTGACCTCTGTGACACACTGACCTCTGTGACACACTGACCTCTGTGACACACTGACCTCTGTGACACACTGACCTCTGTGACACACTGACCTCTGTGACACACTGACCTCTGTGATACTCTGACCTCTGTGACACACTGACCTCTGTGACACACTGACCTCTGTGACACACTGACCTCTGTGACACACTGACCTCTGTGACACACTGACCTGTGCAGCCTGTGCCCTCCCCCATTTTCTCTACCCAAGACAAGCTTGATGAAAGCTGTCTCTGATAGGTTATCTCCCCTTTACTTCAGACATTGGCTACAAGAACAACAAAACTGGTGATGTCCCTGTCTACAAGAGGGAGAGCATGCAGCTCTACCACAATGTGGTAGGTATCTTTTTATAGCTAGGTGAATACCCATTTCTATACTTAGACTGTATGGTGGTAACTTTGTGTTACTTGATCATGTGACCAGGTGTTGAAGAATGTGATAGAAACAGAGAAGACCCATGTCACAGAGATGATCAAAGTTCTGCAGTCATACATCAAGCCCATAGAGTCCACAAATATGTGAGTATCTTGGCCTTTTTAGCTAACACATGGAGTATAGGCTTAGGTTTCAAAGGTTTTTTTATATTTGCTAACCAGAAATGGAAATGTTCATTTTGTGGTCTATGTTTTAAAAAATGCTGGAAATGTTAATGATTTAATAAGTGCTAGAAATTTTCATGTTTTAATAAGTGCTAGAAATGTTCATGTTTTAAAAAATGCTGGAAATGTTCATGTTTCAATAAGTGCTAGAAATGTTCATGTTTTTGCTGGTGTTCCAGACTGACCACAGCTGAGTACACACTGCTGGTGGGCAACTTGGAGGAGATTATAGCATTCCAACAGTCATTTTTATCTGCCCTGGAGGACTGTGAAAAGTTGGTTGTTTCCCTTTACTTAGATTGTATCTTATTGTAATGTAAAACTAGGCATGCTGCCCAGCTTCGCTTAGGCTTTCGAAAACATTGAGAATGTGAATGCTTAATTAATTCGCCCGAGGGTCGGTCTACGACCTCAAGAGTTATGAAGAGGTTCCTCCGTGGACATTTTTTTTCGATTTATAGCTCATATAAGGTACCGGTCAGTCGAGGTCAGTTTTGACCCCCTCATCGTAGACTTTTTGGCCAACCGGCCCCCGTGCTCTGTCGCCCCAAGGCAAGATCCTGCCAAATTTGAAGCGCCTGCGGCGCCGGGAAGTGCCTTATCGGACACCCGACAATCTAGATCTAGATCTAGAATCCTAATTGAATTTTTTTTTTTTTAAGTTTAGTCCGAGCAAAATAAAAAAAAAAAATACATTAACCAAGTTGACTTGGTGGGTCTTGAACCCGCACCACCTGCGTGGTTTATAGTACACTAACATCTCCGCTATTTAGGCACCTTATAAAATACAGAGAATGAAAGACGTATTTTAAAATCTTAACTTACGCGAACATGCCTATTCTTTCAAATTAATTTTTTTATCCCAAATTAGCCAGTTCCAAACAAAGATTTTGTATAAATAAATGTTATGAGTTTAGGCCGGAAAAATTGTATTGTATACATTTCATAGTGTACGTAGATCTAAATCAAATTTGAATGAAATAGTTCATTTCTTTTTTATTCTAAACACGGCAGATGACGTCATTAGTAAGCAATAGTGTCGTCACAGTTTTATGCGTTCTTTTACACATCTATTAATGCTTTTCCGGTTGCATAAATAATACTGTTTCTCTACATTTGAATACGCCTTTATTTTATATTTTTCTTCTTTAAATAAAATTGTGGTTATACATTTAAAACATCTAACATATTATCTTCAACAAAAGTCCGTATAAAGTTCTCCATATATTGCTGCCGTTTCTGACGTGATGTCCGGCGAAAATTTTTTGCGGACAGAGAGAGAGAGAGAGAGAGATGTGCGAACGTGGCCCATTATAGTATTAGATTTGGATCTTAACACTTTAAGACCAGGGTTAGGTCAAATGGCCCATACATTTATTACAGTAAAAAGCCATTCATTCAGTACTAATCCAATCCAAAAATAATAAACCAGTAAAAAGCCATTCATTCACTACTAATCTCATCCAAAAATAATAAACCAGTAAAAAGCCATTCATTCAGTACCAATCCAATTCAAAAATAGTTCTGGTCTTAAAGAGTTCAATGAATACCATATTTAAGACAAATCATAAAGCTCTTTTTCTTTTTAAATAAATGTTTTACCCATGTTCAATATGATTATAGCAAAATGCTCTGAGCATGGTACATTTATTTGATTTGTTGACATAGCTAAGTATGGAGGTGGTTTGTTGAACGGTTTGGTTTGGAGGTGGTTTGTTGAACGGTTAGGTTAGGAGGTGGTTTGTTGAACGGTTAGGTTAGGAGGTGGTTTGTTGAACGGTTTGGTTTGGAGGTGGTTTGTTGAACGGTTAGGTTAGGAGGTGGTTTGTTGAATGGTTAGGTTTGGAGATGGTTTGTTGAACGGTTAGGTTTGGAGGTGGTTTGTTGAACGGTTAGGTTTGGAGATGGTTTGTTGACATGGGATATGTTTAGGAATGGAGTCGGTACGATAGACTATGACTGTTAACTTTCAGACTGCCGTCCAGCCAAAGAAGAATTGGTGGAATCTTCATGCAGTTTGCCCCAAGTATTCAAGAGCTCTACCACTCTTACTGTGCTAACCACCCAAAGGCTGTGGCTGTTTTACAGAAAAAAAGGTTTGGACAATTATCATGGCTCAACATTGTTTTTTCTTTTACTAATAATTTGGCATGTTTATTTTTAAATGTTTTAAAACTAAATAAATTGTAATATTTATTTATTTGAACGAGAAGTTAAGCTTGTTCACTGTATACTTTACAGAAAATTTTTTTTATAATGTATTACAGAGATAAGTTGAGTGAATGTTAACAATGTATTACCGAGATAACTTGAGCAAATGTTGACAACATATTACAGAGATAAGTTGAGCAAATGTTTACAATGTATTACCAAGATAAGTTGAGTGAATGTTTACCATGTATTACAGAGATGAGTTGAGCAAATTTGTTGAATCCCAAGGAGCGCCGCCCCCAGGTGCCCAGACTCTGATCACCATTTTATCCAAACCCTTCATACGTTTAGACAAGTATCCAAGTCTACTCAAAGAGCTGGAGAGGCATGTAGAGGTCAGTTATCAATCTATTGTTCTTGATTTTAGAGTTCATTCCCTTGAAAATAAAATGGGACTAATCCCCCCAAACTTTCTCATAAATTCTTAACAGTAAAGGGGAATGTTATCATAAAGTTATCATATTTACTGATAGACAGAGAGGTTTATCCGACTAAGGAAGGTGGAAAAACCTTGAGGTTTGTCAAAAGTATGGGGGAAAAAGTCCATGTGTCGGAACTGCTATAAACTTAGTCACATTTTGAATGATGTATTTATTTTTTTAAAAACATTCTTAAATTGTTGAAGATTAGCTGCCAGTTGTTGAAGGAGATTGATTTAGTATTTTAAGTATGCTTTAGGTTGGACCTATGTTTTGAACTTGATGATTGATTTAGTATTTTAAGTATGTTTTAGGTTGGACCTATGTTTTGAACTTGACAAATCTTCACTAAAATGTTTTTCTTGTGCAGGAGAGCCACCCAGACAGAGGAGACACACAGAGAGCTATAGCAGTCTATAGAAATATTAATGTGAGTTGGTTTTTTTCTTGACATTTTACTATGTCAATACACAGAGAGCTATAGCAGTCTATAGAAATATTAATGTGAGTTGTTTTTTATTCTTGACATTTTAATATGTCAATACACAGAGAGCTATAGCAGTCTATAGAAATATTAATGTGAGTTGGTTTTTTTTCTTGACATTTTACTATGTCAATACACAGAGAGCTATAGCAGTCTATAGAAATATTAATGTGAGTTGTTTTTTTTCTTGACATTTTACTGTGTCAATACACAGAGAGCTATAGCAGTCTATAGAAATATTAATGTGAGTTGTTGTTTTTTTCTTGACATTTTACTATGTCAATACACAGAGAGCTATAGCGGTCTATAGAAATATTAATGTGAGTTGGTTTTTTTTCTTGACATTTTACTATGTCAATACACAGAGAGCTATAGCAGTCTATAGAAATATTAATGTGAGTTGGTTGTTTTTCTTGACATTTTACTATGTCAATACACAGAGAGCTATAGCAGTCTATAGAAATATTAATGTGAGTTGGTTTTTTTTCTTGACATTTTACTATGTCAATACACAGAGAGCTATAGCAGTCTATAGAAATATTAATGTGAGTTGTTTTTTTTTCTTGACATTTTACTATGTCAATACACAGAGAGCTATAGCGGTCTATAGAAATATTAATGTGAGTTGGTTTTTTTTCTTGACATTTTACTATGTCAATACACAGAGAGCTATAGCAGTCTATAGAAATATTAATGTGAGTTGGTTGTTTTTCTTGACATTTTACTATGTCAATACACAGAGAGCTATAGCAGTCTATAGAAATATTAATGTGAGTTGGTTTTTTTTCTTGACATTTTACTATGTCAATACACAGAGAGCTATAGCAGTCTATAGAAATATTAATGTGAGTTGTTTTTTTTTCTTGACATTTTACTATGTCAATACACAGAGAGCTATAGCAGTCTATAGAAATATTAATGTGAGTTGTTTTTTTTTCTTGACATTTTACTATGTCAATACACAGAGAGCTATAGCAGTCTATAGAAATATTAATGTGAGTTGGTTGTTTTTCTTGACATTTTACTATGTCAATACACAGAGAGCTATAGCAGTCTATAGAAATATTAATGTGAGTTGTTGTTTTTTCTTGACATTTTACTATGTCAATACACAGAGAGCTATAGCAGTCTATAGAAATATTAATGTGAGTTGTTGTTTTTTTCTTGACATTTTACTATGTCAATACACAGAGAGCTATAGCAGTCTATAGAAATATTAATGTGAGTTGTTGTTTTTTCTTGACATTTTACTATGTCAATACACAGAGAGCTATAGCAGTCTATAGAAATATTAATGTGAGTTGTTTTTTTTTCTTGACATTTTACTATGTCAATACACAGAGAGCTATAGCAGTCTATAGAAATATTAATGTGAGTTGTTTTTTTTTCTTGACATTTTACTATGTCAATACACAGAGAGCTATAGCAGTCTATAGAAATATTAATGTGAGTTGTTGTTTTTTTATTGACATTTTACTATGTCAATACACAGAGAGCTATAGCGGTCTATAGAAATATTAATGTGAGTTGGTTTTTTTTCTTGACATTTTACTATGTCAATACACAGAGAGCTATAGCAGTCTATAGAAATATTAATGTGAGTTGTTGTTTTTTTCTTGACATTTTACTATGTCAATACACAGAGAGCTATAGCAGTCTATAGAAATATTAATGTGAGTTGGTTGTTTTTCTTGACATTTTACTATGTCAATACACAGAGAGCTATAGCAGTCTATAGAAATATTAATGTGAGTTGTTTTTTATTCTTGACATTTTAATATGTCAATACACAGAGAGCTATAGCAGTCTATAGAAATATTAATGTGAGTTGGTTTTTTTTCTTGACATTTTACTATGTCAATACACAGAGAGCTATAGCAGTCTATAGAAATATTAATGTGAGTTGTTGTTTTTTTATTGACATTTTACTATGTCAATACACAGAGAGCTATAGCAGTCTATAGAAATATTAATGTGAGTTGTTTTTTTCTTGACATTTTACTGTGTCAATACACAGAGAGCTATAGCAGTCTATAGAAATATTAATGTGAGTTGTTTTTTTTTCTTGACATTTTACTGTGTCAATACACAGAGAGCTATAGCAGTCTATAGAAATATTAATGTGAGTTGTTGTTTTTTTCTTGACATTTTACTATGTCAATACACAGAGAGCTATAGCGGTCTATAGAAATATTAATGTGAGTTGTTTTTTTTCTTGACATTTTAATATGTCAATACACAGAGAGCTATAGCAGTCTATAGAAATATTAATGTGAGTTGGTTTTTTTTCTTGACATTTTACTATGTCAATACACAGAGAGCTATAGCAGTCTATAGAAATATTAATGTGAGTTGGTTTTTTTTCTTGACATTTTACTATGTCAATACACAGAGAGCTATAGCAGTCTATAGAAATATTAATGTGAGTTGTTGTTTTTTTCTTGACATTTTACTGTGTCAATACACAGAGAGCTATAGCAGTCTATAGAAATATTAATGTGAGTTGTTTTTTTTTCTTGACATTTTACTGTGTCAATACACAGAGAGCTATAGCAGTCTATAGAAATATTAATGTGAGTTGTTGTTTTTTTCTTGACATTTTACTATGTCAATACACAGAGAGCTATAGCGGTCTATAGAAATATTAATGTGAGTTGGTTTTTTTTCTTGACATTTTACTATGTCAATACACAGAGAGCTATAGCAGTCTATAGAAATATTAATGTGAGTTGGTTGTTTTTCTTGACATTTTACTATGTCAATACACAGAGAGCTATAGCAGTCTATAGAAATATTAATGTGAGTTGGTTTTTTTTCTTGACATTTTACTATGTCAATACACAGAGAGCTATAGCAGTCTATAGAAATATTAATGTGAGTTGTTTTTTTTTCTTGACATTTTACTATGTCAATACACAGAGAGCTATAGCGGTCTATAGAAATATTAATGTGAGTTGGTTTTTTTTCTTGACATTTTACTATGTCAATACACAGAGAGCTATAGCAGTCTATAGAAATATTAATGTGAGTTGGTTGTTTTTCTTGACATTTTACTATGTCAATACACAGAGAGCTATAGCAGTCTATAGAAATATTAATGTGAGTTGGTTTTTTTTCTTGACATTTTACTATGTCAATACACAGAGAGCTATAGCAGTCTATAGAAATATTAATGTGAGTTGTTGTTTTTTTCTTGACATTTTACTATGTCAATACACAGAGAGCTATAGCAGTCTATAGAAATATTAATGTGAGTTGGTTGTTTTTCTTGACATTTTACTATGTCAATACACAGAGAGCTATAGCAGTCTATAGAAATATTAATGTGAGTTGTTTTTTATTCTTGACATTTTAATATGTCAATACACAGAGAGCTATAGCAGTCTATAGAAATATTAATGTGAGTTGGTTTTTTTTCTTGACATTTTACTATGTCAATACACAGAGAGCTATAGCAGTCTATAGAAATATTAATGTGAGTTGTTGTTTTTTTATTGACATTTTACTATGTCAATACACAGAGAGCTATAGCAGTCTATAGAAATATTAATGTGAGTTGTTGTTTTTTTCTTGACATTTTACTGTGTCAATACACAGAGAGCTATAGCAGTCTATAGAAATATTAATGTGAGTTGTTTTTTTTCTTGACATTTTACTGTGTCAATACACAGAGAGCTATAGCAGTCTATAGAAATATTAATGTGAGTTGTTGTTTTTTTCTTGACATTTTACTATGTCAATACACAGAGAGCTATAGCGGTCTATAGAAATATTAATGTGAGTTGGTTTTTTTTCTTGACATTTTACTATGTCAATACACAGAGAGCTATAGCAGTCTATAGAAATATTAATGTGAGTTGGTTGTTTTTCTTGACATTTTACTATGTCAATACACAGAGAGCTATAGCAGTCTATAGAAATATTAATGTGAGTTGGTTTTTTTTCTTGACATTTTACTATGTCAATACACAGAGAGCTATAGCAGTCTATAGAAATATTAATGTGAGTTGTTTTTTTTTCTTGACATTTTACTATGTCAATACACAGAGAGCTATAGCGGTCTATAGAAATATTAATGTGAGTTGGTTTTTTTTCTTGACATTTTACTATGTCAATACACAGAGAGCTATAGCAGTCTATAGAAATATTAATGTGAGTTGGTTGTTTTTCTTGACATTTTACTATGTCAATACACAGAGAGCTATAGCAGTCTATAGAAATATTAATGTGAGTTGGTTGTTTTTCTTGACATTTTACTATGTCAATACACAGAGAGCTATAGCAGTCTATAGAAATATTAATGTGAGTTGTTGTTTTTTTCTTGACATTTTACTATGTCAATACACAGAGAGCTATAGCAGTCTATAGAAATATTAATGTGAGTTGTTGTTTTTTCTTGACATTTTACTATGTCAATACACAGAGAGCTATAGCAGTCTATAGAAATATTAATGTGAGTTGTTTTTTTTTCTTGACATTTTACTATGTCAATACACAGAGAGCTATAGCAGTCTATAGAAATATTAATGTGAGTTGTTTTTTTTTCTTGACATTTTACTATGTCAATACACAGAGAGCTATAGCAGTCTATAGAAATATTAATGTGAGTTGTTGTTTTTTTATTGACATTTTACTATGTCAATACACAGAGAGCTATAGCGGTCTATAGAAATATTAATGTGAGTTGGTTTTTTTTCTTGACATTTTACTATGTCAATACACAGAGAGCTATAGCAGTCTATAGAAATATTAATGTGAGTTGTTGTTTTTTTCTTGACATTTTACTATGTCAATACACAGAGAGCTATAGCAGTCTATAGAAATATTAATGTGAGTTGGTTGTTTTTCTTGACATTTTACTATGTCAATACACAGAGAGCTATAGCAGTCTATAGAAATATTAATGTGAGTTGTTTTTTATTCTTGACATTTTAATATGTCAATACACAGAGAGCTATAGCAGTCTATAGAAATATTAATGTGAGTTGGTTTTTTTTCTTGACATTTTACTATGTCAATACACAGAGAGCTATAGCAGTCTATAGAAATATTAATGTGAGTTGTTGTTTTTTTATTGACATTTTACTATGTCAATACACAGAGAGCTATAGCAGTCTATAGAAATATTAATGTGAGTTGTTTTTTTCTTGACATTTTACTGTGTCAATACACAGAGAGCTATAGCAGTCTATAGAAATATTAATGTGAGTTGTTTTTTTTTCTTGACATTTTACTGTGTCAATACACAGAGAGCTATAGCAGTCTATAGAAATATTAATGTGAGTTGTTGTTTTTTTCTTGACATTTTACTATGTCAATACACAGAGAGCTATAGCGGTCTATAGAAATATTAATGTGAGTTGTTTTTTTTCTTGACATTTTAATATGTCAATACACAGAGAGCTATAGCAGTCTATAGAAATATTAATGTGAGTTGGTTTTTTTTCTTGACATTTTACTATGTCAATACACAGAGAGCTATAGCAGTCTATAGAAATATTAATGTGAGTTGGTTTTTTTTCTTGACATTTTACTATGTCAATACACAGAGAGCTATAGCAGTCTATAGAAATATTAATGTGAGTTGTTGTTTTTTTCTTGACATTTTACTGTGTCAATACACAGAGAGCTATAGCAGTCTATAGAAATATTAATGTGAGTTGTTTTTTTTTCTTGACATTTTACTGTGTCAATACACAGAGAGCTATAGCAGTCTATAGAAATATTAATGTGAGTTGTTGTTTTTTTCTTGACATTTTACTATGTCAATACACAGAGAGCTATAGCGGTCTATAGAAATATTAATGTGAGTTGGTTTTTTTTCTTGACATTTTACTATGTCAATACACAGAGAGCTATAGCAGTCTATAGAAATATTAATGTGAGTTGGTTGTTTTTCTTGACATTTTACTATGTCAATACACAGAGAGCTATAGCAGTCTATAGAAATATTAATGTGAGTTGGTTTTTTTTCTTGACATTTTACTATGTCAATACACAGAGAGCTATAGCAGTCTATAGAAATATTAATGTGAGTTGTTTTTTTTTCTTGACATTTTACTATGTCAATACACAGAGAGCTATAGCGGTCTATAGAAATATTAATGTGAGTTGGTTTTTTTTCTTGACATTTTACTATGTCAATACACAGAGAGCTATAGCAGTCTATAGAAATATTAATGTGAGTTGGTTGTTTTTCTTGACATTTTACTATGTCAATACACAGAGAGCTATAGCAGTCTATAGAAATATTAATGTGAGTTGGTTTTTTTTCTTGACATTTTACTATGTCAATACACAGAGAGCTATAGCAGTCTATAGAAATATTAATGTGAGTTGTTGTTTTTTTCTTGACATTTTACTATGTCAATACACAGAGAGCTATAGCAGTCTATAGAAATATTAATGTGAGTTGGTTTTTTTTCTTGACATTTTACTATGTCAATACACAGAGAGCTATAGCAGTCTATAGAAATATTAATGTGAGTTGTTTTTTATTCTTGACATTTTAATATGTCAATACACAGAGAGCTATAGCAGTCTATAGAAATATTAATGTGAGTTGGTTTTTTTTCTTGACATTTTACTATGTCAATACACAGAGAGCTATAGCAGTCTATAGAAATATTAATGTGAGTTGTTGTTTTTTTATTGACATTTTACTATGTCAATACACAGAGAGCTATAGCAGTCTATAGAAATATTAATGTGAGTTGTTGTTTTTTTCTTGACATTTTACTGTGTCAATACACAGAGAGCTATAGCAGTCTATAGAAATATTAATGTGAGTTGTTTTTTTTCTTGACATTTTACTGTGTCAATACACAGAGAGCTATAGCAGTCTATAGAAATATTAATGTGAGTTGTTGTTTTTTTCTTGACATTTTACTATGTCAATACACAGAGAGCTATAGCGGTCTATAGAAATATTAATGTGAGTTGGTTTTTTTTCTTGACATTTTACTATGTCAATACACAGAGAGCTATAGCAGTCTATAGAAATATTAATGTGAGTTGGTTGTTTTTCTTGACATTTTACTATGTCAATACACAGAGAGCTATAGCAGTCTATAGAAATATTAATGTGAGTTGTTGTTTTTTCTTGACATTTTACTATGTCAATACACAGAGAGCTATAGCAGTCTATAGAAATATTAATGTGAGTTGTTTTTTTTTCTTGACATTTTACTATGTCAATACACAGAGAGCTATAGCGGTCTATAGAAATATTAATGTGAGTTGGTTTTTTTTCTTGACATTTTACTATGTCAATACACAGAGAGCTATAGCAGTCTATAGAAATATTAATGTGAGTTGGTTGTTTTTCTTGACATTTTACTATGTCAATACACAGAGAGCTATAGCAGTCTATAGAAATATTAATGTGAGTTGGTTGTTTTTCTTGACATTTTACTATGTCAATACACAGAGAGCTATAGCAGTCTATAGAAATATTAATGTGAGTTGTTTTTTATTCTTGACATTTTACTATGTCAATACACAGAGAGCTATAGCAGTCTATAGAAATATTAATGTGAGTTGTTTTTTTTTCTTGACATTTTACTATGTCAATACACAGAGAGCTATAGCAGTCTATAGAAATATTAATGTGAGTTGGTTGTTTTTCTTGACATTTTACTATGTCAATACACAGAGAGCTATAGCAGTCTATAGAAATATTAATGTGAGTTGTTGTTTTTTCTTGACATTTTACTATGTCAATACACAGAGAGCTATAGCAGTCTATAGAAATATTAATGTGAGTTGTTGTTTTTTTCTTGACATTTTACTATGTCAATACACAGAGAGCTATAGCAGTCTATAGAAATATTAATGTGAGTTGTTGTTTTTTCTTGACATTTTACTATGTCAATACACAGAGAGCTATAGCAGTCTATAGAAATATTAATGTGAGTTGTTTTTTTTTCTTGACATTTTACTATGTCAATACACAGAGAGCTATAGCAGTCTATAGAAATATTAATGTGAGTTGTTTTTTTTTCTTGACATTTTACTATGTCAATACACAGAGAGCTATAGCAGTCTATAGAAATATTAATGTGAGTTGTTGTTTTTTTATTGACATTTTACTATGTCAATACACAGAGAGCTATAGCGGTCTATAGAAATATTAATGTGAGTTGGTTTTTTTTCTTGACATTTTACTATGTCAATACACAGAGAGCTATAGCAGTCTATAGAAATATTAATGTGAGTTGTTGTTTTTTTCTTGAAATTTTACTATGTCAATACACAGAGAGCTATAGCAGTCTATAGAAATATTAATGTGAGTTGTTGTTTTTTTCTTGACATTTTACTATGTCAATACACAGAGAGCTATAGCAGTCTATAGAAATATTAATGTGAGTTGTTTTTTTTTCTTGACATTTTACTATGTCAATACACAGAGAGCTATAGCAGTCTATAGAAATATTAATGTGAGTTGTTTTTTTTTCTTGACATTTTACTATGTCAATACACAGAGAGCTATAGCAGTCTATAGAAATATTAATGTGAGTTGTTGTTTTTTTATTGACATTTTACTATGTCAATACACAGAGAGCTATAGCAGTCTATAGAAATATTAATGTGAGTTGGTTGTTTTTCTTGACATTTTACTATGTCAATACACAGAGAGCTATAGCAGTCTATAGAAATATTAATGTGAGTTGGTTGTTTTTCTTGACATTTTACTATGTCAATACACAGAGAGCTATAGCAGTCTATAGAAATATTAATGTGAGTTGTTTTTTATTCTTGACATTTTAATATGTCAATACACAGAGAGCTATAGCAGTCTATAGAAATATTAATGTGAGTTGGTTTTTTTTCTTGACATTTTACTATGTCAATACACAGAGAGCTATAGCAGTCTATAGAAATATTAATGTGAGTTGTTGTTTTTTTATTGACATTTTACTATGTCAATACACAGAGAGCTATAGCAGTCTATAGAAATATTAATGTGAGTTGTTTTTTTCTTGACATTTTACTATGTCAATACACAGAGAGCTATAGCAGTCTATAGAAATATTAATGTGAGTTGTTGTTTTTTTCTTGACATTTTACTATGTCAATACACAGAGAGCTATAGCAGTCTATAGAAATATTAATGTGAGTTGTTGTTATTTTCTTGACATTTTACTATGTCAATACACAGAGAGCTATAGCAGTCTATAGAAATATTAATGTGAGTTGTTGTTATTTTCTTGACATTTTACTATGTCAATACGCAAAATAGTGAGGTTTGAATTTAAATGTTAGTTGTTAATAATATGAAATATTGTGTTGTTGTGTGTTTAAGTTTGTCAAATGTTATTATTTGTATGGTAGTTGATTTAATTTGATAGGTTATCAAACTTTATTTATTTGATAGGCTATCTAACTTATTGTTTTTGACAGGCTATCTAGCTTTATTTTTAAATTATACCATTCAACTTAATGTTTATGACAGGCTATCTAGCTTTATCTTTAAATTATACCATTCAACTTAATGTTTATTACAGGCTGTTTAACTTTACTTTAATGATATGTTATTTAACTGTGTTTTATATTATGATGAGCTGTCTATAATGATTATTATGTGTATGTGTTACAGAACTATTGTTTGGAAACTAGAAAATCAAAAGAAATGGAACACGAAATCGTATCCAGTGTTATTCAGGGATGGGAAGGGGAGGTAAGCCTGCAATTTAAAAACTATTTAATATGATTGCCTCCTTTGAAATTTCTTTGCAGTTAGCTGAGTTTGATTGTGAGAAAATTGTATGAATGAATACATGTATTATATAAATAGAACTTGTATCAATGAATACATTTATAAATAAAACTTATATCAACGTTTCAACATTTTGTCCCCTTATTTCTGCATCAGGAAATCTCTAAACTAGGGGAGGTAATACACTTATCTCAAGTCAAGATGGTGACACAAACTGGTGAAAAATTTGAGCGCATTTTTGTTTTATTTTCTTCCTGTCTCGTCATGCTGTCAATGAGCAAAGGACTCAGCCATTACCAATATGAGGTTAGCTTGTGGTTTTCATTTAGTTATCAGTAGGATGTTATCCTATAGTTTACATTTAGTTAACAGTAAGATGTTAGCTTGTAGTTTACATTTAGTTAACAGTGGTTGGTTAGATTATAGTTTACATTTAGTTAACAGTAAGATGTTAGCTTGTAGTTTACATTTAGTTACCAGTAGGAGGTTAGCTCGCAGTTAACACTTTTATTTTTCAAATTTAAAATAAAAAATTCTACTTAAAACTTTCATTTAAGAATTGAACTTATTATTATATTTTTAGTGATCTGTAAAGCAAAGCATGATCAATTTCAAGAAAAAGTTAATTTAATTTTGTGAAGTTTTCAATTCGTTTTTTTGGTATATATTTGAACAAAACATAAAAGGTGTAAGTATTTTATGTTGACAGGGTAAGATTCCTCTGAGTGGTCTAAGCAGTTCTTTATGTGAAAACACAGACAAGTATCAAAACGCTTTTGAGATCTCAGGTCAGTTGATGTTTATTTCATTGGTTAGTTAAATGTTCTAAGTTTGTGTTAAATTGTCTTGGCTTTCCTGGTGTTTGATTGGCTGGTTTAAATGGTCTAGGTCTTTGTGTTTGATTGGTTAGTTTGTCTTGGCTTTCTTGGTGTTTGATTGGCTGGTTAAATGGTCTGGATTGTCAGTTTGATTGGCTGGTTATGTAAAACAGCATCAAACACTGGTAATTTCTCTCTCTCTCCACAATCTAGGTCCTATGATAGAGAAGATCACAGTTCTCTGTGGAACCAAAGTCGAAGTCAATTCCTGGCTGGAAAATTTAAACCACCAGCTCTCACAGACTGGCAACAGCTCATCAAAACCTCAGTCCCTCCAAGTTCACATGGTAAATATCAGTCCCTCCAAGTTCACATGGTAAATGTCAGTCCCTCCAAGTTCACATGGTAAATATCAATCCCTCCAAGTTCACATGGTAAATGTCAGTCCCTCCAAGTTCACATGGTAAATATCAGTCCCTCCAAGTTCACATGGTAAATATCAGTCCCTCCAAGTTCACATGGTAAATGTCAGTCCCTCCAAATTCACATGGTAAATATCAGTCCCTCCAAGTTCACATGGTAAATATTCTTAGTTTTAACTAATTTCTTTACCCCAGCTGTCCTGTATGTTCACATTCCCCCCCCCCCCCCCCCCCCCACTGACACATCTGCTTATGTCAACAGATCCCCACCCTGCCCTCCCCCCTAGCTTACCCACCTGCCCTCCACTGATTTACCTGCTTGTGTCACCAGAACCCCCGCCCCCCCACCTGTCCCCCACTGATGTACTTGCTTGTGTCACCAGACTCCCCACCCTCCCACCTGCCCTCCACTGATTTACCTGCTTGTGTCACCATATCCCCCCACCTATCACCCACTGATGTTCCTGCTTGTGTCACCAGATCCCCACCTGCCAGCCAAATGTCACCACAGTCACCACAGCCAAGACAGCACACATCACCACCAACCCACCGGCAGCTCTACCTCCAACGTTCCCACCCAAAGCTTCCAGTGTCTGGAGTCTGACCTGCCTGCGACCTTCACCTCCGACCCGACCCACCCTCATGTGCCGTGAGGAGGTGTTAAAGTCTCCGCGAGCCAACAGAAAAACAACCCACAAGAGAAAACCAGGTAAACCCCCCTGACACCCCCCACCACTTGTCTTTCTGGCCATTCAATATTTAGATTGGGTGTTCAAGGTCTGTTTTAAACAGATCTTTGCTTGCTTTTATACTTGTTATCATTATGGAATGATCCATACTTGTTATCATTATGGAATGATCCATTAGACTAGTCCATTTTCATGTTAATTCGATGTTTATTCAGTTTAAAAATGGACACAGCTGTTTGATGTTCATCATTTGTTTTTAAAAAGCAGCTTTCTACAAATATGTGTTTTCTTATGTGTGCACCAAAAATTGATTTCCTTGGTTATAAAATGTTGACGGCCAGTCATGATCTTAGGTGACCAGCTGTGAAGTTTTTTTTTGTTTTCTGTTTCTTTTGGCATGTAACACACTGGTCTGTCAACATGCTGTATCTGTCTGTAAGTTAACTGTGGATAGTGGAAGATTGTGGTCAGATGATCACAGATGGATGCCTGGTCACAAAGTTAATTTCTGCCTGTGGTGGTCTAGTGTGAACTGTGTGACTGTGACAGACACTGTCAACTGTAACGACTGCCAGTGTCATCTGTCAAACTGTGAACTGACAGACTGTCAGTTCCAGCTGTCAGTCCACCATCAACTGACTGCCAGCATCAGATGTGATAATGTGATCTTATTTTTTTCTCTAGTCCGGACATACTCAGGAGAGGAAACTGACTGGCATAGCAAAAGTTAGAAGTTATTTTCCAGTTTATTTGAGTTTTTTCTTTTCCTGTAGTTTGCACTTTTTAAATTTTTATTTGGCATAAGTTTGTTTTCTATTGTGAGAGCTTGATCTGTTTCTTTTGGTTGTTGTGTGAAATAGATTTTTTAACACCAAGTTTGTATTGACTGATTTTGCTTGTGTTTGGTAGTAACCTCCCCTTGTTTGTTTACTAGTCTTGCTTGTGATTGTAATAATCTCCCTTTTTTTTTTTACACTTAGCTGGTTTGATGCTGTGTTTTAACTGCTAGTTTTTGCCTGTGAAAGGTTGGTTTAACCCAGCTGTTTAACATATTGCCTCAGTGAGCTGTGTAAACAATGTAGCCTTTGTCAGTTAACTACATTAGTTTAAAATTATTATTAGCAATTTTTCATATATAGAAAATGAATGTCCATTTTTCTACCAAAGTTACTTTAAGAATATATATTTTTTTCTGGTCAATTATTTTACTCACAGATGTAATTGACTGAATGAAGCTTATCCAGTCCTAAAGAACATAAACATGACCTTTTTATTGTAAGCTATACATTAGTAGGGCCAATGTATTGAACAAAGCTTTTTAGGTTACTTTTTTACAGTTTATAGTAAACAAAAATGAAAAGTAAAATAAAATGTATAATTTTATTATGACATATATCTAAAAAAAATATTTTTACTATCACATATTTTCTTTCTTGTTCATAATCATTACAAACCAAAGGAAATAAATTTAAAAAACTTACTATCAATCATGATAAATGCAAACAAGTTTTCTCATTTATTTCAGCATTTAGAACTGACTGAAGAAAAAATACAGTTATTTTAAATTGATTCTTTGACATGACCATAAATTGTGCTGACATGGTTACACTGTGTGCATGAAATTTTTGTTGTGTTGTTTCAGTGTAAGCTCACAACAGTGTCAAGTTTTTTTTTTTTAATTTAAGAGTTCTCTCCCTTGACATAGCCTTTGCACTTTGGCATGGTTTCACTCCCCTTTATTTTGTATACTTTTTTGTTTTCTTTCAAACTACTTTTCTGTGTGTTTATGTTTCTTCATGTTTTATAAAATAATTTCCTGGTTTTTGGTGTGTTTTTACTCTTTTACTTTTGTGAATTGTGTTAAAGTTTTCTCAACAAAAAAAAATAGCTACCGTTAAGGCAAGGAATGAAACTTAGTAGCACATTTAAAGCATAATATGAATGTTAATCTTCTCACATCTAATCCTAGTTTTTAAATTCCCATTGTAGTAGCTCACTGTCATGAGTACCTTGTGGCTCATTCATCTTTTCTCGTATTACCTTCTTGTAACTTGTCATTTGCTTGATACTGATATAGGTACAAGATATATAGATTAAATAGTTAATTATTAAGATATAAATCAAACTTTTACAGAAGTAATCTTCACACTAAATCTTCCCAAGTTAACCATTCATCTTTTGAGTTAATTGTAAGGTTTTGTAATTTCATGAACTTTATTTTGTCAATATGGATAATTTTGATCTGTCTGACGAGGATTAAAAAATGAATTACTTTCAAGTAGCTGTAACGATGTCCATGTATCCACAGATGACCCCAAGGTCTACAACGAAGACGCCTTCATCCTCCAGGTGATAGAAGCGTACTGCAACAGTGTCAAGACAAGACACACAGTCAACTCATGTAAGTCACAACTTAAACACATACCCCGCTCCCTAGACAAGACACACAGTCAACTCATGTAAGTCACAACTTAAACACATCCCCCGCCCCCATCACCCCACCCCCCCACGCTGTGGTTGATCTGAAGCTGTTTTCAGTTAAGTGCTGTCATGGTGTTGCTGCTGTTTTCCTGGATCAAAGTTGTGTCTGTGTTACGTCCTACTTATTCTATTTATAGCTCTTTTCTAAAAAAAAATTAATTATTTGCATTAACATTACTTCAAAATAAAATAATGCATAGATAGTCATATATATAACGATATTAGATACAAATTTAGTTTTTGGTAGAAATTTACATCTTAAAACACAACCTATACAATAAAAAAGTATTTTTATAAACATGTGATATTCAGATTAAGATCATTGTATTTAAAGTCATAGAATCTAAGTACAAACATGTACTGAATATAAGCATGTTGTGTATGAACACAAGAAATACACACAGGACAGAATGCATTGTTTGGTCTGGTGTCTCGTTGTGGTGCTGGTGATTTGTCTGGTGGTGTGCATTAACCTCCATAATGTTGGTAGAGATGGACCACCCCACCCCCCATAATGTTGGTAGAGATGGACCACCCCACCCCCTATAATGTTGGTAGAGATGGACCACCCCACCCCCCATAATGTTGGTAGAGATGGACCACCCCACCCCTATAATGTTGGTAGAGATGGACCACCCCACCCCTATAATGTTGGTAGAGATGGACCACCCCACCCCTATAATGTTGGTAGAGATGAACCACCCCACCCCTATATAGTTGGTAGAGATGGACCACCCCACCCCCTATAATGTTGGTAGAGATGGACCACCCCACCCCTATAATGTTGGTAGAGATGGACCACCCCACCCCTATAATGTTGGTAGAGATGGACCGCCCCACCCCTATAATGTTGGTAGAGATGAACCACCCCACCCCTATATAGTTGGTAGAGATGGACCACCCCACCCCCTATAATGTTGGTAGAGATGGACCACCCCACCCCTATAATGTTGGTAGAGATGGACCACCCCACCCCTATAATGTTGGTAGAGATGGACCGCCCCACCCCTATAATGTTGGTAGAGATGGACCACCCCACCCCATAATGTTGGTAGAGATGGACCACCCCACCCCATAATGTTGCTAGTGATGAATCACCCCATCCCACCCCTATGCATGCCTCAAAATTTCAGTTCAGAAAACTGTGTTGATTTGAACTATTAAACAAATTTTAAGTCTTTTATTTTAACTAATACAAAATAGTGGAACTTATTTGAAAAGAATTAAATTTCTTTTAAGTAATTGTAAAAAAAAAATAGTGGATTCATTATTTGGTGATTGTTTTATCTTGTGAGCTTTTCTTCATGTGTTGTTCTTGAATGATCATTCTCTGTGTTGTGACTGTGGTAGGTTATGACCTTTGGCAGGTTATGACCTGTGGCCTATGTAAATTGACCATGTATTGCTAGTTGTCTCTAGTTAAGGGAGACCACTCTCTTTATTATTCTAGGCAGAATAGAAGGGCCCAAAAAGAAAGCCATTGATGGGAAAGGTAGGCAATAGCCAGCGCAACCTGTTCTCACTGCATGAATGAAGTCAATGTCAAATAACAGTCTGGCTTTACCCCTCCCCTTAATCCACATAACACGCCTGAAACTAACACGCATATCAACACGCATATCTAGAGCTGTGTTCTATATGCCAGCTGAATGGTGCTTCATAGTGTGCATCAGTGAGGGGGCTACATTGTCGCCTGTCTCAGGGGCTACATTGTCGCCTGTCTCAGGGGCTACATTGTTGCCTGTCTGCCATGGCTAAGGGGCTACACTGTCGCCTGTCTGGCATGACTAAAGGGCTACACTGTGGCCTGTCTGCCATGGCTAAGGGGCTACACTGTGGCCTGTCTGTCAAGGTAGAAGGGCTCCACCGTACCAGAGCAGGAGCACCAGTCTCAGCTCCTGTCCATGTTCTGCTCGGCCCAGCTCTGTAGAACTTTAACTTTTGCAATTGTGCATTGGGTAAAACACATGTACACAGGATGTGTTTTTTCTTGCCTGTTTCCAACCAGCCACTTTTGATTGTTCTATGTTTACATGGTGGCACCTTGATCTGTCACCTGCATGATATGAGTGTTGTAGAACTGAGTCCTCCCTGACTTAGTGTAGGCCCCGCTCTAGCCTGAGACTTTCTTCTTTGTTTTTGGTGTTGTTTCCCCTCCTCCTACCTCTCCCCTCCCAATTTTCTTTCATCCTCTGACCCCACTCCAATAATAATCAAAAATTTCTTTCAGTTTTAAATTTTTTTCCAGCTAAATAAGCTGATATGACTGATAATATTAAGTCACTTTGTGGTTGAGTCAGTATAGACTCTATTCTAGTCACTGTATGGTTGAATAGTGTTGCAGTAGAGTCACTGAAATGGTGAGACCAATGAAATTGTTACATTTGATATGTTCACATTTCACTCAGGTGATAGAATTTGTTACATTTGTACTTGGGGTGGTGTTAGTGAAATCCTCTGGAAAAAACATTCTCTCTGTCATTTCATTCTCTCTGTCATTTACATCCTGATCATTCAACATTCCTCATCTACACCATTTTGTTTTATATTCCATTCATCACATGGAGACATTTTTTTGTTGGTTCCATCCATCACATTGAGCCATTTATAATTTCTAGCTACATGTACATTTAGGCTTGTGAGTGGGATGGCTTTGCAGGCTTTTCAGTGTGTGCAGCAAGTCTTGGTTGTATGTTGGCCTCCCTGCTTTGGTTTCCTTACTTTCTGTACCTGGCTTATATAAGCTGTAGATCAACCAACATTGCTGATGAGTTCAACTAGAAACAAAAACTACATTTGTATAGTTACTAGGCCCATAAAGGAAAGCAAAATTTTTGTGTCTGTTTTACAGCACAAAAATTAATTCAATTTTTAATTCAATTCTTACTTGCCAGAACTGCTTTTTTTTAAAGCTGGTATTGGTTAAAACATAAAAAGATCAACACCATGAAATATAATTTACCAATGCATATAATTTATGTTAGTCTATGTGTTAACATAGCCTCCTATCTCTACAATAAACATGGGTTGGGAGAAATATTAAGAATGATTAAAAATATTATCGGTATAGTGTGCTGTTTTAAGAAAATATTTTGGGTACAGTGCTGTGTGTAAAGAACTCGCTCTCCTGATTTTTGTCTTTGCTTATAGATGAGATCTTTTTTGAGCTCAGTTTTTCAAAACCAATTTTTGTGTTGTATCAAGTATAAAATCACATTACAAGCTTGCTAACTCCCATGTAACAAAAGCAGAACTGTATACATTTTCATCTCTCCTGCAGACATTACATTATTGGCTTAATTAACTCATTGTTAAATTAGCTTTTAAAAACTGCATGCAAATCAGGTCTACAGCCTACTAAAGTTTAAAAAAACCCCACAATATTCTCTTTGCCAAGTATATTGAGCAACCATTATTATAGGACTTCATATAACCTGTGAACTACTTGATAAATGCTACATACATCCTGTGATCTACACTCAATTTCCTCCCCATCTTTTGCCACGCCTCAAGTGGACCTGCAGGTACAAATGTCCTTCCCCTTGACCTACAAATGTCCTTCCCCTTGACCTACATATGTCCCACCCCCCTTGACCTACAAATGCCCTTCCCCCTTGACCTACAAATGCCCTTCCCCCTTGACCTACAAATGTCCTTCCCCCTTGACCTACAAATGTCCTTCCCCCTTGACCTACAAATGTCCTTCCCCCTTGACCTACAAATGTCCTTCCCCCTTGACCTACAAATGTCCTTCCCCCTTGACCTACAAATGCCCCTCCCGCCTGACCTACAAATGTCCTTCCCCCTTGACCTACAAATGCCCTTCCCCCTTGACCTACACATGTCCTTCCCCCTTGACCTACAAATGTCCTTACCCCTTGACCTACAAATGCCCTTCCCCCTTGACCTACAAATGTCCTTCCCCCTTGACCTACAAATGTCCTTCCCCCTTGACCTACACATGTCCTTCCCCCTTGACCTACAAATGTCCTTACCCCTTGACCTACAAATGCCCTTCCCCCTTGACCTACAAATGTCCTTCCCCCTTGACCTACAAATGTCCTTCCCCCTTGACCTACACATGTCCTTCCCCCTTGACCTACAAATGTCCTTACCCCTTGACCTACAAATGTCCTTCCCCAGTGGACCTGTCCAAGCTGAGATTGTCAGACAGTTCTGGCTCTGAGAGTGGCGCCTACTGCGAGTCCCTCAACTCCCCAGACCTGGACGACTACACTAGCATGGTCAGTGGGGGTCAGCCTCTGATGGGGGGCTTCTGCTGCGCTACCTTCCCCCTGGCTCGTGGCCTGGCTCGAACTATCAAGCGGCTCTGATGCCCTGGCTCTGATGCCCTGGCTCTGATGCCCTGGCTCTGATGCCCTGGCTCTGATGCCCTGGCCCACAACACTCTTTGACATTCTCCAGAGTTCTCAGATTAGTTTTTCACACTGATCTATCTGGTACTGATACATAGAATACCTGGATCACTATGTGTTCAACTCTTTACATAATCTAATGGTGCTAAGTGTAGACAGGAGCTCAATAATACCACCTGACAAATACCATCATATACCATCAGACAACCTACCATCTGACCTCACAAATACCAGCCAGATTCTCTGATGTTACAAGAATTTTTTTCTCTGTAGCCAGAAACGTGCAATAAAACAGACCAGTGCAATATGTAACCAGTCAGTGCAATGTGTAACCAGAGCATGTTATTTTGGACTAGCTCGACTATTTATTTGGTTAATCCTAGTTTTGTTGCTTCAAATATGGTTTGATTATAAGATGACCTCGACTAATTTAACATTTTAACCATAATTGTTTTATAAAATGTGTTGTTAGAATTTAGCCCTGTTGTGGCTGTGGTGGTTTTTTGTTGTTGGGAATCTAAAAACTAATAGTGCAGATCTGCTGCTAGCCCTAGGGGGGTAGGGGCTGTGTAGATCTAGCTAGTTAGCTGGTTGGTGGGGGGGGGGGGGGTTGATGAGCCCAGTGTAGATCTAGTCACCTGTGATAACTGCCTGCTACTAACTGTCATGACTTGTTGATGTGTATTACATGGCTGTCATACAGCTGTATTGACAGCTTGAGATTGGTAGTGACTTCCCTTGTAGACTGTAAAAAAAAATAATTGTTAGTTACTTCCCTTGTTTTATGCTATTTAAAAATTGTATATTTTAACAGATCAAATATCAGTGTTGTTGTGATATTATAATCCTAGTGTTTAACTTGACCAGAAAATGTTTATAAGATGTTGTAATTAAAAACCTATGTATTAACTGTAACCAGATGTTTTTATGTATACGAAGGTTGTTTTTTAACCTGACTGATATTAAACAACGTCTGTTCATTTGCTCCTCTTTTCTTGTTTTCTAACCATGTACGTAATGTTTGAACGTAAAGAAAACTATACTTTGTTTTTTTATTTAACCAAACACAAATTCACTGTGAAGATGTGTAGTGACAGCTGGAAAACTGGTTGGCAAAGTTCTAGCAAAGATGAGGGTTGTGAGCAGTGAGCCAAATCTAACACAACCACATAGCTCACCACAGGCGTGGGCAAAGAAAGAAATCGCTGTTTGTGTAGCGTAAAAAATTAACTGACACTTTTAAGAAAGTCCTCGGACGAGTGAGAACTAACTTGACGCTCATGGTGAACACTCGTGTGGCTGGCTCACCCACACACACACACACACACACTTCCATATGGCACCACCAAGGGCTTATGATTTTATGATTGTTATGAGCCATAGATTCCTCCCTTCAATTCTTTAATTCATTTCTCCTGTTTCTCACACGGCTTACGAGATTGTGGTCAAACTTTCTTTTTATGACTAAGGTAAAAAAAATGTTCATATAGCCTAACTGTATATTCATTAGCCTTATTTTTTTATTTGCTTTTGAATTTTGTGCTCCCTGTAGCAAAAATTTGCTGCTATTTTTCTTTGTTGGTCACATTGCAATAGCCAACTTGGAGGTTGTTGTGGTATTTTTTTTTTTGTTTATTTCTTTCTTTTGTATGACAAATTCATTTCAGAATATTTTAAACAACTGCTAAAAAAAATTTATTTACATAAATTCAAAAAGTTAATGTAACTGTAACGAACTTGTTGACTTTAGATGAATCAAATACTTTTTTTAGGATTTACTTGTCAATACATTGGCATTTCTTGTAATATTTTTTATTTTGTTATGAAAAATACCTTGCATGAATTTCACCCCCTCCCCCTCCCGCCCTATCCCACTTTACCCCCTTCCTTGATGTACCATCTGACTATTTGACAGTTTAATTAAAAAAATGATACAGTTGTACAACCAGAGCTTCTCATTTCCCAGCCTTATCCTGGTGATCAGGTTCCTTCAACAATTTTAGATTTATCTTTTAAATCATTTGATTTCAACAAAATACATTGTTTTACGGTTTTTGCACAACATATATTACTCTGAACTTATTATTTTGAATTGGTTTTTATTTATAAAATTATCAATTTATTTTTCTTCAAATTTTTTTAAATACTTACTTTATTTTGTGGAAATAATTAAGTAAGAGTTTAATCTGAAATTTATTTTCAAACTTAACTGTATCACTGAAATTGTCTTTATAGTTAGCCAAAGTTGGAAGTTGTATCAATTGAATTAAGATTCTTTCCCCAGACTAGTGTAGAATGAAAATGGACATATAGTTTAAGAAAGAAAGCAAGTGTGTGTGTGTGTTGGTTTGGGTGTCTCCTAATTAATTGTGTCAGTCAGTGCATGAGTTATGTGCACCTGTGTTAGTCTGTGCATGAGTTGTCTGCTCGTGTGGCTGTAGCTTGTATCAGCTTGCTGTGCTTCCCGTTGCTTGAGCTTCTCACAACTTTTGTAGCATTGGTGTCATACGCTTGACTTGATCTTGTACCTCAGCACATCTTTGTATTCATGTTATACCTCACTTCACTTTGCTCTACCTCACTTTACGCCACCTTGCATAACTTTACACAATCTCGCTTCATACCACTTCACTTTACCTCACTTCACTTTACCTCACTTCACTTTACCTCACTTCACTTTAGACCATCTCGCTTCATAACTTCACTTCACATTACTCTACCTCACTTGACTTCACTCTGCCTTAGTTATACCACCGCACTTCATTTTATCTCAGTACCTCACTTAATCCATCTTTTCTCTCTGTATCACCTCTCTATCTTACCTAACCTCACTATATGGCTTATACGCAATTCACCCTTTACTTTCCCTATCTTTTGCTACCTCACTTTATTTTCTTACCTCACTTTATAGTTGAACTTGGTGTTGAGTATTTAATCTGAATCTCATTCCATCACAAAACTTTTGAAACATTTCCTTAAAATGTATCCCCACCACATGTGTATGATTTTACCCCACTGCTATTTGTTTACTTCAGTTCTACATCAAGAACATTTATTTGTTCTGTCCTACCCAAACTTGCTGACCATACATCCAACACTTGACCAGCACCTCATGGCCGTCAGTGGTCATTCTTAACATAAGCTTTACCCCGAAGTTTTATAACAAAAAATTGACAGGCTGAACATAAGTCCATAATGTGACATACACAACTCTTGTTGATACACTTCTCTCCCCTTGCAGAAGGTCAAAGTTCATGGGTCGCATATCCAAGATTTAGCTGTTGTGTTTATGTAACTCTGGTCAAAGCTTTCAAATTTCCTGTACAATGTTGTAGTGGCTGGTTGGATGTTAGTTTAGGTGCTGTGTTGTAATAAGTTGTATAATTTTGTTTTGACTTGTCGAGAATAATTTCAATAATAATTTTTTTTTTTTTATGTATGCAGCTATTCTGACCAGTCCACAAATTCTTTTAGCAGAAGATGAAAAAATCATTGATGAAAGCGAGCAGCAAGAGAGGTGAGTGGGCTGTGGTTCATTTTTTGTTAGGTTTTATGTGTTTATTTTTTGTTAGGTTTTTTGTGTTTATTTTTTGTTAGGTTTTGTGTGGTCTGTGGATCATTTTTTTTGTTAGGTTTTGTGTGGTTTGTGGTTTTCCTTTTTGTTAGGTTTTGTGTGGTTTGTGGTTCATTTTTTGTTAGGTTTTGTGTGGTTTGTGGTTCATTTTTTGTTAGGTTTTCTGTGGTCTGTGGTTCATTTTTTGTTAGGTTTTGTCTGGTCTATGGTTTATTTTTTGTTAGGTTTTGTGTGGTCTGTGGTTCATTTTTTGTTAGGTTTTGTCTGGTCGTTGGTTAATTTTTTGTTAGGTTTTGTGTTTATTTTTTGTTAGGTTTTGTGTTTATTTTTTGTTTGGTTTTGTGTTTATTTTTGGTTAGGTTTTGTGTGTTTATTTTTTGTTAGGTTTTGTGTGGTGTGTGGTTCATTTTTTGTTAGGTTTTCTGTGGTCTGTGGTTCATTTTTTGTTAGGTTTTGTCTGGTCATTGGTTAATTTTTTGTTAGGTTTTGTGTTTATTTTTTGTTAGGTTTTGTGTGGTCTGTGGTTTATTTTTTGTTAGGTTTTGTTGGTCTGTGGTTTATTTTTTGTTAGGTTTTGTGTGGTCTGTGGTTTAGGTTTTGTGTGGTTTGTGGTTTATTTTTTGTTAGGTTTTGTGTGGTTTGTGGTTTATTTTTTGTTAGGTTTTGTGTGGTTTGTGGTTTATTTTTTGTTAGGTTTTGTGTGGTCTGTGGTTTATTTTTTGTTAGGTTTTGTGTGGTTTGTGGTTTTCCTTTTTGTTAGGTTTTGTGTGGTCTGTAGTTTATTTTTTCTTAGGTTTTTTGTGTGGTCTATGGTTTATTTTTTGTTAGGTTTTGTGTGTTCTGTGTAGCATTTTCAATTAGGTTTTTTAATTGTGATTGTAATGGTTAATTATCATTGTTCACTTTCATGTTCAGCTTTATTAATCTTTATGTAGAGTTTGTTAACTTCTCTGTTGTTTCTTTACTTGAATGTGTTTGTTAACTTCTCTGTTGTTTCTTTACTTGAATGTGTTTGTTAACTTCTCTGTTGTTTCTTTACTTGAATGTGTTTGTTAACTTGAAACAAGTCAATGTTTACCTTGTTAACTGGTCTCATTGTTTCTTTGGACCCAGGACTGTGGTAGATACTGTATATGCTCTACAAGATAGAGTTAAAGAACTGGAGCAGGTAAATCACTTTTCTTTGTTCTACCTGTCTGCTTTGTTCAACCTGTCTGCTTTGTTCTACCTGTCTGATTTGTTCTACCTGTCCAATTTGTTCTACCTGTCTGCTTTGTTCTACCTGTCTGCTTTGTTCTACCTTTCTGATTTGTTCTACCTGTCTGATTTGTTCTACCTGTCTGATTTGTTCGACCTTTCTGCTTTGTTCTACCTTTCTGCTTTGTTATACCTGTCTAATTTGTTCTACCTGTCTGCTTTGTTCTACTTTTCTGATCTGTTCTACTTTTCTGATCTGTTCTACCTGTCTGCTTTGTTTAACATGTCTGCTTTGTTCTACCTGTATAATTTGTTCTACCTGTCTGATTTGTTCTACCTGTCTACTTTGTTCTACATGTCTACTTTGTTCTACCTATCTGCTTTGTTATACCTGTCTGATTTGTTCTACCTGTCTGATTTGTTCTACCTGTCTGATTTGTTCGACCTTTCTGCTTTGTTCTACCTTTCTGCTTTGTTATACCTGTCTAATTTGTTCTACCTGTCTGATTTCTTCTATCAGTCTGATTTGTTCTACCTGTCTGCTTTGTTATACATGTCTGCTTTGTTCTACCTGTCTGCTTTGTTCTACCTGTCTGCTTTGTTCTACCTGTCTGCTTTGTTCTACCTGTCTGCTTTGTTCTACCTATCAGCTTTGTTCTACATGTCTGGTATACTGTATTGACCTCCAAATGTTTGCTGTAATACCACTGAAATACCATTCACAACACTCTACCTGTCTGCTGTGTTGTACCAAACATGTTTGTAGATGGGCTCTAATGATGTGTCTCTCTCCCTCTAATGATGTGTCTCTCTCCCTCTAATGATGTGTGTCTCTCTCCCTCTAATGATGTGTGTCTCTCTCCCTCTAATGATGTGTGCCTCTCTCCCTCTAATGATGTGTGTCTCTCTCCCTCTAATGATGTGTCTCTCTCCCTCTAATGATGTGTGTCTCTCTCCCTCTAATGATGTGTGTCTCTCTCCCTCTAATGATGTGTGTCTCTCTCCCTCTAATGATGTGTGTCTCTCTCCCTCTAATGATGTGTGTCTCTCTCCCTCTAATGATGTGTGTCTCTCTCCCTCTAATGATGTGTGTCTCCCTCTAATGATGTGTGTCTCTCTCCCTCTAATGATGTGTGCCTCTCTCCCTCTAATGATGTGTGTCTCTCTCCCTCTTATGATGTGTGTCTCTCTCCCTCTAATGATGTGTGGCTCTCTCCCTCTAATGATGTGTCTCTCTCCCTCTAATGATGTGTGTCTCTCTCCCTCTAATGATGTGTCTCTCTCCCTCTAATGATGTGTGTCTCTCTCCCTCTAATGATGTGTGTCACTCCCTCTAATGATGTGTGTCTCTCTCCCTCTAATGATGTGTGTCTCTCTCCCTAATGATGTGTGTCTCTCTCTAATGATGTGTGTCTCTCCCTCTAATGATGTGTGTCTCTCTCCCTCTAATGATGTGTCTCTCTCTCCCTCTAATGATGTGTGTGTCTCTCCCTCTAATGATGTGTGTCTCTCTCCCTCTAATGATGTGTGTCTCTCTCCCTAATGATGTGTGTCTCTCTCTAATGATGTGTGTCTCTCCCTCTAATGATGTGTGTCTCCCTCCCTCTAATGATGTGTGTCTCTCTCCCTCTAATGATGTGTCTCTCTCCCTCTAATGATGTGTGTCTCTCCCTCTAATGATGTGTGTCTCTCTCCCTCTAATGATGTGTCTCTCTCTCCCTCTAATGATGTGTGTCTCTCTCCCTCTAATGATGTGTGTCCCTCTCCCTCTAATGATGTGTGTCTCTCTCCCTCTAATGATGTGTGGCTCTCTCCCTCTAATGATGTGTGTCTCTCTCCCTCTAATGATGTGTGTCTCTCTCCCTCTAATGATGTGTGTCTCTCTCCCTCTTATGATGTGTCTCTCTCCCTCTAATGATGTGTGTCTCTCTCCCTCTAATGATGTGTGTCTCTCTAATGATGTGTGTCTCTCTCCCTCTAATGATGTGTCTCTCTCCCTCTAATGATGTGTGTCTCTCTCCCTCTAATGATGTGTGTCTCTCCCTCTAATGATGTGTGTCTCTCTCCCTCTAATGATGTGTGTCTCTCTCCCTAATGATGTGTGTCTCTCTCTAATGATGTGTGTCTCTCCCTCTAATGATGTGTGTCTCTCTCCCTCTAATGATGTGTCTCTCTCTCCCTCTAATGATGTGTGTCTCTCTCCCTCTAATGATGTGTGTCTCTCCCTCTAATGATGTGTGTCTCTCTCCCTCTAATGATGTGTGTCTCTCTCCCTAATGATGTGTGTCTCTCTCTAATGATGTGTGTCTCTCCCTCTAATGATGTGTGTCTCCCTCCCTCTAATGATGTGTGTCTCTCTCCCTCTAATGATGTGTCTCTCTCCCTCTAATGATGTGTGTCTCTCCCTCTAATGATGTGTGTCTCTCCCTCTAATGATGTGTGTCTCTCCCTCTAATGATGTGTGTGTCTCTCTCCCTCTAATGATGTGTGTCTCTCTCCCTCTAATGATGTGTCTCTCTCTCCCTCTAATGATGTGTGTCTCTCCCTCTAATGATGTGTGTCTCTCTCCCTCTAATGATGTGTCTCTCTCTCCCTCTAATGATGTGTGTCTCTCTCCCTCTAATGATGTGTGTCCCTCTCCCTCTAATGATGTGTGTCTCTCTCCCTCTAATGATGTGTGTCTCTCTCCCTCTAATGATGTGTGTCTCTCCCTCTAATGATGTGTGTCTCTCTCCCTCTAATGATGTGTCTCTCTCTCCCTCTAATGATGTGTGTCTCTCTCCCTCTAATGATGTGTGTCCCTCTCCCTCTAATGATGTGTGTCTCTCTCCCTCTAATGATGTGTGTCTCTCTCCCTCTAATGATGTGTGTCTCCCTCTAATGATGTGTGTGTCTCTCTCCCTCTAATGATGTGTGTCTCTCTCCCTCTAATGATGTGTGTCTCTCTCCCTCTAATGATGTGTGTCTCTCCCTCTACAGGAGCAGCGCAGGCTACGGCTAGATTTAGATGAAGAAAAGCGATGTCGGAAAAAACTGGAGAGTCTTATACGACAGCAGAACAACAAATCTATGGATGGGATACAAGATGGAACCTGAGCGGACTGGTGGGGGTAGACAGCCAATCAAATCACACGAGACTGATAGCCAATCTAATCATGCGATCTGTGCAATTGGGTGTACTCTGTTTAAGGATAGGTGTGTGACGACTGGGGCTGGGGTAGATGTGTGGGTGTGTGTGGAGGTATGCTGTAAGTGTGGGTGTGTGTGGAGGTATGCTGCAAGTGTGGGTGTGTGGTGAGGCTCAAAGTGTGGGTGTGTGGTGAGGTAGGCTGTAATTGTGGGTGTTTGTGTGGGGAGGTATGCTGCAAGTGTAGATGTGTGTGAAGGCATATATGGTGAGAGGGTTGAGAGGAATCAAAATGGCCTCTACTTGATACTGCACTGTATTGTTTGCAGTTGTCTGTGTTACATCAAGTATGTTTTCTATCATAGCGTAGGTCATGTGTTGGGGCGGAAAACTCTGTTTGACATATCAAAAATGAAATGGCGAAGTGGTGACAATTGTTGCTTGCAAAATACGTCAAGCCGTAGGCAATGTATGCTCTATGATTGTGATTTTTGTATGACCATATAACATATCTTTTTGTCTTTCTCATTGTCTTAATGTTATTTTTTTCTGTGTACCTTCTTGGTATAAAACTGTGTGGTCAGGAGTGTGCTAGAGATGATGTTAAACTGCTGTTAGGTGGCAACAGAAACTGACTGATGTTGCTGATTGAGTACACCGCTCCATTGCGTTCACTTCACTAAACCTCAACTTTAACTACAAAGTTTTTTACAGCTGATAAAATATTTTGTTGTAAATATAAAAATAAAACTTTGAATGTATTTACCAATATGTGAGATTGCTTTTTTTTTTCAATGGTACTTTGACATTCAATCAAAAAAACTTTTTTTTAGTGGCTCCTATGACCCTTGGCTCCAATAAAACTTATACTGTTGGCTCTTATGACCTGTGGCTCCATTTAAGCTCATTGTTGTTGGCTCATGGGAGCTATGGCTCCAATAAAACTTATAATTGGGGCTAATATAACATGTGGCTCCTATAAAGCTCATTATTGTTGGCCCATATGACTATGGCTCCATTTAAGCTCATTGATGTTAGCTCATATGACCTGTAGCTCCAATAAAGCTCAATACTGGTGGCTCATATGCCCCTAGGCATAATAGTGTTCAGTGGTGAAGTAGATTGGAACTGTCCAGAACAACAAATACATAAATCCCACCATGTCAAATTAGTAACAAAAACAAATTGGCCTACTTTTTATCTCTAAATAAAACAAGGGTAAAATAAAAAGTTTTTAAATGCACATATAGTAAAACTGGCTTTTTTTTTAAAGATATAATTTTTAAAAAAGCAAACAGGTTAGGGATTTTATGAGCAACTAACACGACTTATATTTAAAGAAATTTGTTTGAATGCTTTAATTATAATATAAAGGTTATTGTTATTATGCTTGTTTTTTTTATTACTTTTTTAGTAACAAGGAATTTCAAAGACTAACATTGTTAGTTGTTTAAGTTTTAAAATATCTGGAACCTTCTTTCATTGCTACCTCTTGATCCCATTATCTCCTCCTTTTAATATAAAACAGTTTTGTTTAAATTAGGTTTAATGATCAATCAAAAATCTTATTAATTAGATTGAAAATTACATATTAGTGCAATGTCGTCAGGAATTAATTTAACTGGAAAGTTAAATGCTATTAATATGCGTCAAAATTAGCATCAAGATATAACAACAGACAGAGACAGTCATTGTGACTTATGAAAAGTTATGTAAGAATATTTTCAAAAAATTAACAATAACAAAACGCTTGTTTATAAAAACGAGTGAGAACTACTCACTAAAGTAAATACTAGCTATGGGTAAAAAAAATAAGGAAGGAACGCTCAGAGAAACCATCTGTATAAAGGCAATGTGTTGTACACAGTAGAGTTCTGGGGGACAAAGGCAATGATTACCACGCTAGATCTGGTGTTGACAACTGTAGAGAAGGTGGTGTACGGGGGTGAATGTTGTTTATACTTTTGTCCAGTTCATCTCTGTTCAGTCGTCGTGTTGTGAGCTGTGACAGTCCGGTTTGTACCTGTTTTGTTAGGGTATAGGAGGTGTGTGATTGGTTCAGTTTCGCCCAGTTCTCCCACTAGTTTAGGTTTCTGTAGATGGCCACTGTATCTTATACTAGTATATGTATTTAGTGTTTAGAATAGTCTATAGTTGTGAGCAATCTAAATTGTTAACGAGCCGTTGTTTCATTTAGTCTTGTGTTTTGTACCCCGTTTGTGGTAATCTGTGTAAAGGCGTGTCAGTGTGTTCACAACAACTACTAGACTAGTTAAATGTGTTACTTCAATAGGGGACCGTATTCAGATGCTTTAGGTCAAAGGTCGATGTAGCCTACAGTTGTGGTTCCTCTGTCTCGTGTGGTCAGAGTAGGTCAAACGAGGTGTGTCTAGTAGGCCAGTGTGGACTAAAGGTCAGTAAGGTCAATGACTCAATCTCTATGAAGGATGGTAAGGTCAAGGGCAGAATGTCATGAATATCATTAATATAAAAAATAACAGCTAGCGTTTACGTACAATGTTTCAGGTAAATAATAAAAATGAAATTAATTGAAAGCTATCCATGCTGATGTTTACATACTATTTAATGATTATATACGACTGACAAAAATTAAAATGGTGTTATTATTAATTCATTGAGTGAAGAAAAATTTCCTTCAAGGGCACGAGCTGTTAATTTATGTTGTTCGGGTAGTCTTTCTGTATGGCTAGTTTCTCAACGGGTCAAGTTTCTGTCCAATCATTGCAGAGCTGCGATTGTGTTTTGTGTTGGATGGGATTTGTCATCCATCATGTTTTGTGTTGGATGGGATTTGTCATCCATCACGTTTTGCTGGGCGAACATCTCGCATGGCCGTTTAACTTCCGGCTCAACTCATTTTTTTTTCGGCGATTTCTCTTTTTTACGAAACGGTAAAATTTTCCTGACTTTGCCTATCCAGCCTCTCTTCTGGTCGTCTGCAGGCTCGGTGGCCGGAAGTGGGGCGTGGTGGGCAGGTGGCGCCACGTCCTTAGCCTCTGGGAGAGTGCCGTCCACCTCGACCGGCCTGACGCCGGCGTCGTCTGCTGTGGCGGCCAACTGCTCCTTGAAATGTCTTTTGACAGGAATTGTGAAGTTGCTCAGCGGCCCGGAGATCACCACCGTTCGTGTCGCCACGCCATCTTTTTTCTTTTTACTTTTTTTCTGCGACTGATCGGTCTTGAGTGGCCGCCATAGCGGGACTGTGTAGATGTCCACGGGAATCTCCAGCGCGTTGGCGACATTGGCTTTAGTCGTTTTTGATGCCCCTTCCTCGGGTCTGTTCACAGCAGTGCTAGCTATCGCTTCTTTAGTGGAGGCTTCCGTAACACGTCTCTTGTCATAGCTAGGTTTACATCCGCCTATTTCTAACAGCGGAGTGAGATTATCCGACTGGAGGGAAGATCCGATAAAGCTGGAGTCCACGTGAACAGGATTTTGTGGTGTAAGCTCATCACGCCCATAGTAGGACGCTGTGTGGTTCTGGTTGACTTGATAACGACAGGCCTGCGTTGTTGAAACTTGGGCTGGTGGATTGCCCGTTGCTCTCCCTTGGGTGGACGAAGAACTTGGACCAATCTCGCGGAGCTGATGCTGACCTGGTTGTGGTGGACTCGGGGAGTTGTGGTCGAGACGTCTGGAAGAGAACAATGACGGCGGACGTGCGTCTTGTCGAATGAACGCGGAGCTGTTGTTACAGAGGCTGGTCCGTCTGCTAGACAGAGTGTTTGTTGTTGCCGTGTCTGAATCATCCAGCGAAGAATCATCGGAGGAGTTCCTCCTAAAATGATCTAATTTACGTTTAGTTCGTTGTTCTAAACTTTTGATCGCGTCTTCAACGAATTTGGTTTGACATTGGTAATTTAGGTCGAGATCAGTCGTCGAAGATGGCGAAGACGTCTGGTCAAGCTCCAACCGCAGGCGTGAATACACCGTGGATAATCCATTCTGTTGCTTAAGCTCCTCAGCCAAAAGAAAATCTTCGAGCTTATTAACTTTTCTGTATTGTTTATCCGTCTTCGGCCGCACGGCATTTTCTTCGCCTAACCGGGTATGCAAACTTTGTTTCTGAATTCTGATCGATTTGTTGGTAGACTTTCCCCTCTGAAAATTTGGGAAGTCCAAACATGTTTTACTTTTCAATGTTAATTGTAGACTTGTATCATCAAACGAGACGGGGGCGTTAAAAGATTTATCCAAGTGGTTGTTCCCTAATTCCGGCAAACTGTGACATCGTCTGCACGAAGTTTGGCCTGGACATTTGGCGGAAGGACTGTAGTATTTTCTTTTTAAATTTAACTTGCATTGCTCTGTTCGATCTACGACGTTTGATTTCATTCGCAAGCAGCGTTCATTGATTTTCTTACTGAAGAAGCTGGCTTGAATGTTGACTTTGTGATGACTGGCGAGCGACGAGGACAAGGATGGGACGGCCCAGATGGAGTGGAACGGCTCGGAAGACACACAGATAGTCTGGTTGCTGATATCCGAGTCGAGTCTGTGGCTCCTAGACGCGTCTCTCTTGGAAACGTCGCTGTTGGGCTCGTCGTTCTCACGATCTAGGGAGCCTGAAAACGTGTCTTGAATGAAGTACGTGCCATCTTCCGTGTGGTCTTGTTTGTTTTGGCGCGCGGGTTGAGTTGAGAGTTGGTGAGAGTTTCCCCACTGGGTAGCAGCAGCTGATGTGGGCATACGATCACACACCTGAGTGGGTCTAAGCTCACCCGTGGCCGTGGGTAATGTTGAGCTTAGCGCGCACGTTGGGGCGGTAGGTTTTGAGCTAAGGTCGCCTGTTGTAGCAGCTCGTTTTAAGCTAAGCTCTTCTTTTTCAACAGCTTGTTTTAAGTTAAGCTCACGTATTTGAGCATGTTTTGAGTTAACCTCTTCTTTTTCAGCAGCTTGTTTTGAATTAAGTTCATCTGTTTTAGCAGATAGTTTTGAGCCAAGGTCTTCTTTTCCAACTGCTAGTTTTGAGTTAAGCTTACGTGTTTTAGCAGTTAGTTGTGAGCCAAGCCTGTCTGTCTCATCAGCTAGTTTTGAGTTAAGCTCTTCTTTATCAACAGCTCGCTTTGAGCTAAGCTCACGTGCTTTAGAAGTTAGTTTTGAGCCAATCTTGTCATGCACATCAACTAATTTTGAGTTAAGCTCTTCTTTTTCAACAGCTAGTTTTGAGTTAAGCTCACGTATTTTAGCAAGTTTTGAGTTAAACTCTTCTTTTTCAACAGCTGGTTTTGAGTTAAGCTCGTCTTTTTTAGCAGATAGTTTAAAGCTAAACTCTTCTTTTTCATCAGCGTAAAGCTCGTCTGTTTTAGATAATTGTATTGAGCTAAGCTCGTCTGTTTTAGATAATTGTATTGAGCTAAGCTCGTCTGTTTTAGATAATTGTATTGAGCTAAGCTCGCCTGTTTGAGCGGGTAGTTTTGAGCTAAGCTCACCTGTTTGAGCAGGTAGTTTTGAGCTAAGCTCGCCTGTTTGAGCAGGTAGTTTTGAGCTAAGCTCGTCTGTTTGAGCAGGTAGTTTTGAGCTAAGCTCGCCTGTTTGAGCAGGTAGTTTTGAGCTAAGCTCGTCTGTTTGAGCAGGTAGTTTTGAGCTAAGCTCGTCTGTTTTAGATAATTGTATTGAGCTAAGCTCGTCTGTTCGAGCAGGTAGTTTTGAGCTAAGCTCGTCTGTTTTAGATAATTGTATTGAGCTAAGCTCGCCTGTTTGAGCAGGTAGTTTTGAGCTAAGCTCGCCTGTTTGAGCAGGTAGTTTTGAGCTAAGCTCGTCTGTTTGAACAGGTAGTTTTGAGCTAAGCTCGCCTGTTTGAGCAGGTAGTTTTGAGCTAAGCTCGTCTGTTTGAGCAGGTAGTTTTGAGCTAGACTCACTATTAGTCCCAACAGATCTCAATGTTCTAAATTCACGTGTGAGGATTTCTGGCCCCGCGACTTGTCGGGACCGTGAGGACGTTTCTCTGCCAGTGTTCGCGGGACTGTCATTTGGTTGTGGGGATGTTTTGAGCTCACTCTTGCTCCGGTGTGCGACTTTCTTGAATTCATCCATGGTTTGGTGTGTGGCTGTATTTGAAATCTTGACTTCTGGCTCTATATTTGAAATGTCAACCGAACTTGTCACGTCTGATCTATGACCGAGTGACGTCCCTCCCTGATGGACGTATATCCCCTTGTCCTGGGCTGAGCACTCGTCTTCGTTTGTCTGAGCAAGTAGCTGAGCTTGGCCGAGCACACAACGCGGTGATGCTGTTGCAAAAAAGAAATGTGTCTGTTTTAAAAGCCCAAGGTTAATACATCTATTCATTAGTAGCAACATTTTTAGTTGTCGTGGCTACAAGACAGAGGCGTACGCAGGGGGGGGGGGGGGCGATGAGGGGTGGGACCAGAGGGAGAGACCGCTCCCTTATGATAATTTTTAGGATTTGTAGTCTATATAACACACACACACACACATAATATATACTCACATTTCATACATACAAATGCCCCCCCCCCCCGCATTAAAACCTACGAACGCCTCAAACGTAATTTATTGTAATCTAATTCAGACTTACACAATTGCCGATAACTCTTTTCCTGATTTACCCATCGAGGGTTGTAGTCGTTTGTGAGACGCTTCAAGTGGTCTTGTTCCTCAGACTTCCTACTGACGGCAATTTCCGGTTCATTTGAACCGAGGTTTTTCTCACTAGGCAATGTTGGCTGCTCTGAGATGCCTTTGTCGTGATCTGATTGCTTCTTGGCGATGAAAGTGGTCTTTGATGGTGGAAAACGTTTGTCGTTTAAAATTCTAGAGCTCTCGACTTTTGGTGGAATGCTAAACTTTAGCTCTTGCGATTTTACAAAACCAACCTCAGCCCTAGTCGGTTGCTTTGTTTGAACTGGACTCAGGGTGGGGGTTGTTTCCTTGGGTGCTTGGGTAATAGCGTTCTCCATTCGCGAGGCCAAGGCTGGTGGAGGTTCGCTGAGTACGTGAACGTTGGGATTTGGTGGAGGTTCGCTGAGTACGTGGTCGTTGGGATTTGGTGGAGGTTCGCTGAGTACATGAACGTTGGGATTTGGTGGAGTTTCGCTGAGTACATGAACGTTGGGATTTGGTGGAGGTTCGCTGAGTACATGAACGTTGGGATTTGGTGGAGGTTCGCTGAGTACATGAACGTTGGGATTTGGTGGAGTTTCGCTGAGTACATGAACGTTGGGATTTGGTGGAGGTTCGCTGAGTACATGAACGTTGGGATTTGGTGGAGGTTCGCTGAGAACATGGTCGTTGGAGGCTAGTGGACATTTGCCTAGTACATGTTCGTTGGAGGCTAGTGGACATTTGCCTAGCACATGTTCGTTGGGATTTGGCGGAGGTTCGTCGAGCACATGGTCGTTGACGTTTGTATTTGAAGCAAGCGCCGAATCTTGGCGGCATTCTAAATTGTCACTGTCCGTGCAGTCTCTGAAAGACTTAGTATCTTTGCTTGGACACGACTGAGACTGTGTCACTTTCCTAGGAAACGTTTGGTGCATCTCGTGTAGGATGTTGACAAGCCGTTCTATCCAGGCGTCCGCCGTGGCGTGCATCTTCGCCGTCTCCTCGCACGTTGTCTTGCCAACTGGGCTGCCCTCCAGCGGCCTCAGATTGGGCGGCAAAACAAAAGCATCACTGCCCGATTGACTGCTACCATCAACGCCATTGTCTAATTTTCTTTGAAATAACTGAAACGCTTCGCTGTCTTTTTTAAGCTTAGGCGGACTCCAGCCTGAGAGGCCAACTGTGGATGCCGCGTCCCAGACAGGAAACCTCAGCCTGCTCCCCTTGACGGCGCCGACAGCTACTGGACTGGGTGCTGAATTTCCCTCCGGCTTCGGCGCTCTGGCTGCGTCATCTTCAGGGCTGCAGGCGGCGTTCTCAAAGAGCTGCACCATCCGCGCGGTATTTCTTCCCCTTACAAATCCCGTTTTCCTCAACTGGATTCGATCCTGCAACGCCTCATCTTGAAGAGAAGTTTTTTTCGCAGAATCATTGCATGGTACATTCATATCTACGGCATCAGTGTAGTTAGTAGCCGGGGCTACGTCTATCTTCTCTTCCACATCTTTTGGCGTGTCATTAGAACTCATTTGTTTTTTTCTCTGTGAGTGGCAGCATTGGCAGCTCTCTATATTTTCCTTCAGTGAGTTCAGATCTCGTGTCAAATGAGCCGCAAACTCGCTCTCATCGAGGTTGAGTCTCGGGGATAACATGGACAGGTACTTGAGCCTGCAGTTGGTGCAGCTGTCACAGTTCTTCTCCAGGCGCGTCAGACTTTTCCACAGTATCTTTGTTTCAGCGGACAGGACGTTTTTTAACCTGCCGTAATCAACGGACGTGTTGGTCAATGTCCCGGATGATTCACAGCTCTTTGGGTCGAAGCCTGAGGGGGTGTGCACGCGAGCGCTGCTGGCAGAAAACTTCTGGGCCAACGTCTCCGACATGTTGTCGATGGGAGTTGCGCTTTCTCTTTCCGCGTGCAAGTTGACGTCCGGCGTTGCTTTTGATGGGATGATCTCGGGGCTTGCTTCAACGGCGCTGGGCAGCCTGAAAGCAATCATCTCCTTTACCGGACTGCTGGAGATTTTGTATTCTAAATGGTACTTCATCTCCTTGAGCTGGCTTTCTGTCGAGAGGTTGGAGCTTTTCATTTCTTGGCTGTCCCTGGCATCATCTTTGGCAGGAGACGGTTCCAAACTATGGTGAGTTTCGTTCCCCACATTGAACAAGTTATCCGTCTCGAACTTAGTTTTCGTGTAAGAAAGGGATTTAGTCAAACACATGCCGCCTCTAGGATATTCTTCACGCACATTTGTGCCGCCACCAGGATATTCTCTACGCACATTTGATCCATTATTAGGATATTCTTCACGCACCTTTGTGCCACCGCCAGTATAATCACGCACATTTGATCCATTATTACGATATTCCCCACGCATATTTGCGCCACCAAAAGTATTATCTCCACGCACATTTGATCCATTATTAGGATATTCTTCACGCACATTTGTGCCACCACCAGAGCCACCACTGTGGTATTGTTCTCGCACCTTTGTACCGCCACTAGGGAGTTCTCCAGGCACAATTGTGCAACCCATGGGGTACTCTTCACTCACATTTCTGCAACCAATAGATAGTTCTCCACGCACATTTGTGCAACCACTAAGGTATTCTCTGTGCATATTTGTGATACCTCTAGGGTTTTCTTCTCGCACATGTGTGCCACCACTAGGATACTCTTTATTTATAGTTGTGTTACCACTTGGGTATTCCGCACGCACATTTGTGCCACCACCAAGGTATTCACGCACATTTGTGCCACCACCAAGGTATTCACGCACATTTGTGCCACCACCAAGGTATTCACGCATATTTGTGCTTGTATTACTGACAGGACATTTGGTTATATTCACTCCCGTGTCTGCACATGGTTTCATCTTCTCATCGGATTCGCCTTCTTTTAGAGGATTGTAATTTTTCATTGGTCGAACGTCTGGTTGGTCCAATGAATCGTCCAGTGGGATGTTAGCTCTCATCGCAGTGTCGACACGAAGGATGCTTTCACTCTTGTTTGTCATACCTGGTTTGATCTTATCTTGTTCTTGCTCCCGTTTTAGTTTTATTTGTCCCAATTTTCCCGAAAATTTTAACGGATGTGTGGTTTTGATATTTTCGCTACCTTTAGCTAAAGCGTGAACGTTGCTAGCTTGTTCATCGCATTTCTTGTGCGTGTTTCGCTTTTGCTTTCCTTGCCTCTTGGCCATCTCTCGGTTATCTCCGGAACTTAAAACTGTTTTCAGCTGACAAATGTCGCGAACCTTTTGTGTCTTCCCTTGGGAAGGTTCGCTGCTAAGTTTTGATCCCCTGTGTTTTGACTCGATGTTCTTCAGCTTTTTGCTCATTCTTCTAGCCACGGCCTGACCCAAGTTTAAACCTTTCTCATTTGCCCCGGTCAAGTTTTCATTGGAGGTGTTACCTCCAGTGGTCAATCGGCCCGCATCTAGTCTGGCCTCTTGGTTGTTCTCTTCGGCACAAGCTTGATTTACTGTCCCAAGTAAAATGTTTTTGTTACAACTTAGATTGGAACTATCAGATGCGGATTTTCGACTCAGGCATCCGTTGGTACAAGGACGCTCTTTTTTATTTTCTTGCGGGAAATATTCTAGAATCTTCTCGTCGCTGCTCTTTGCCTCTGATTTACCTGATACTTGGCCCATTAAATGAGAACTGCTTTTGTTTGTTGAACTATTACGGTAGATTGGGATGATAGGCTCTTCTGTGTACTGAATATACGTTTGCTTCTCTGAACAAAGCATTTGATAGCTGGTCGTAGAGAGTTCACTAGCAGGTCTGATGGGCGTGTCCGCTCTAAGCCTGCTCTCACTTCGTGCGATAGACGTACCGATGTCGTCCATGGTTTGCGCTGAAGCGAGGTTGGCGTCTGTCGTGTAGAGAGCCAGCTCCACTGGCTTGGGGGAATTGCCAGAGAGTAGCTGGTCCTGTCTCGGCACGTTGCCCAAGTCGCGCTGCGTTTTGTTGAACTCTGAAAAACTCTTCAACGTCTGGCTAGCCAGCTGCGTCGTTAGGTAGTCGTCCGTGTGGGAAAGTCCGGAGGCTTCGATCTGCTGCTCGCCCCTGCTTGGCTTGGTGTTCTCCGTGTAGTACATGCTTTTCTGTGAGGGGATGGAGAACTGAACATACGTGTTTCCTTCGTTCGTCTCGCAGGATTGGAGGCAGCTGGAGGAATGTTTCTGGAAAAAATGGTGAGTGTGGCTCTTCCCAGCACTTGCCATCCCCCGGCGCTCATCTGAGCAGATGACTAAAGACCGATCGGTTAAAGGCCATTTGATTTGTGCCGTGATATTGTTAATGTCGTTGTCGAGATTGTCTTCGCTGATGTCACACATTGGCGTCGGCATATCGAAATCGACTTCCGGGTCGATGAGAATTTTGCTGCTCGTCAACTCTGACTGCTCGCACTTGACGGTGGGACTGCGAGACGGGCCGGTGCTTGGTAGCATCGTCTCCCGGGACTCGAACCGAATCTCGTTCAACCTCTTGTTCAACCTTTCGTCAACAACTCTCTGCAGATAGTACTTGAAGTTGCTGGACTTGATGCACTTGGTCATGAACTCCCCAAGGTGAACACAGGCGGACGAATCATTTTTCACCAAGGAAAGATCGGAGATGAGTTGCTCGGCGCTGCCGTCTGTCTGTGTGCAGCAGGTTGTGAGGGTGGGGAGTGGGTGCAGGTTCAGGTGGTCTTTTGACACGTTGACTCCAGCGTCCTTCATGGCGTGTGACGTGTGGGGCTTCGGGTTGTTCTTGTTGCTCCTCCAGGAATGATGCTCTTTACCTTTCCGTCCCGGTGCGTCTGAGGTGTCTGTTGATTCGTACTCCTCAAGAGTGTAATGAGTAGGGGTTGTAGAGGACATCGTTGAGAGGGTCCTCGTCTTCTGCCACCCGTAGTCCTGGACTTCTTGATACTCGCAAGCCGTCACATCATCGCTAGACGCGGAAATCAACTCGTTGCCAAAAACGAAGCTCTGGCTGTTTTCATTGACCACGTCATCCAGGTAGATCTTGGAGGAAGAGCTCTCCTGCATCTCCGTGAAGAAACTCCCGAGCTCCTCGTATGTGTCCAGCTCGTAGTCATCCGTCAAGTACTGGTTGTCCATATTGTGTTTCCCTGACAAGCTCTCAATCTCCTCGTTAAACTCCGTCTGCATCTCTGAGAGCGGCGACGAGTCGAGCAGGAGGTTCAAGTTGAACCGCTCGTCCTGCCCGAGGTGCGTGTAAGTCCTGGTGAAGACATTGGCCCCTTGCTGCAGCCCCTTGTAATGGTGCCGCTTGCTGCCACTTAATTTATTGAGGTCAGGGCTTCCTGTTTTAAAGTCGACTGGGTTTCGATACACGTTTGAATCCATGTCTAATTTCCTGTTTTTTAATTTGTGTGTGATTTTACTTCTCTTCTTCATCGAGCTGTGTCGTTCCTTTCTGGTGCTGGGGCTAAGTTTGATCGAGTCCCCGCCCTGAGCA